TGATTTAATAAGAAGTGAACATAAAAGTCTTAAAGATAATCTACACTTAAATCCTGTTAAAAAAACTACACTTAAATCCTTTAAAACATAGTGATGGATTTCTCGAATTAGGCCAGACTCTCCATTTGTGTTATCCAATATTATCAATATGAAGTGTCAATTCATGAGCTTTGAGATAAAACTTCCCTAATACCTAAGTTTCAACTGCAAGTTTTCATCGATCAAGTAAATAGATGAGAAGGAAAAAAGATATCCAAAAACTTGATAACTCCTTGACCCATATTTGTATAAAGACATTTCTCTAGAAAGATTTATAGAAAACAATGAGAGTGCAAGTTCACAATCTGGATTAGAGTAGCTGATAAGTGCAAATATCTGAATGTTTCTTCATCATTGGTAGGCTTCAATGGTAAGGTTAGTTTCAGCCATTTTCTTCCAACTCATCTATTTTCTTCTCCTGCACAATTGCAACGTGTGGAAGGTCTGTGCGAGTAGGAATTGTGAGCTCTAATTTCCAAAGTGAAAAGAATACGCTAGTACAGGTAGAAGAGAAAGTGTATCTGAATTTATACTAATGTCCTTAGTTTTGAGCGGGAAGTAGACTTAAGTGGTTTAATATATAATATATAATATATATATAGATATAGATATAGATTTCCTCGTACTCGCTTAGAATCGACAGATGATTTCTGGACCCGTTTCAAAATTCGGGTCCATCTTATCCCGATTTCTTACTTCCCAAATCGTTCCCACAAAACACCGGAAGTCACAGTTCCAACCTCGCGTACACACCACCGCACCGAATTACTTGTCTACGGTTGTCCGTGGCGGAGCTAGCTTCTCAATAATGGCAAGCGGCGGCGATGATGATTCAAAAATTGTTCAGTTCCAGCTCACTCCTTCAACTTTGCTCAAGATTCTCAAGGGTGACATCACTAAGTGGTCCGTCGATGGATCTTCCGACGCCATCGTAAGTCGTAACCTATCTCTATCTTCTAATGCTGCGCACACACCTATGCAAATGTTTACTGATTTTTAACGTTTCAAACGTCAAGATGATATTTCCCCCCGAATTTATTTGATTTGTTTTTTCTTCAAAACCATTTATTGTTGTATGTTTGATTCTAGACTGAGCTATGCGAAATGGAAAAGAAAAGGAACGGTAAAAAGTTATTGTCTTATGTTTGGTTCTTAGAAATTGCAAAGAAAATTAAACATGAATGCATGATCAATTGTTAAGTTGCTTGTTCATATGTTTGAATTTCTCAATCTCGTTTGGTTGCAACCTTGACAATTGTGCTAGAAAAAGTTATTTTATCAGGTTACCTTATTCCCCTATAAAACAAAGAAAATAAAGTATAATTATTTTGAATTTCTTTTAATGCATATTTGGATTTCTCAATATTTATATACTACCTCTGTCCGACTGTCCCATGAGAAGATGGTGCTTTTATTTATAAAATTCAGTTTAGGTGTTTCATATTGAATTTGTAAGTATGAATGAAGAACTATTTAGACCCACACAATTATTACCATATTCCTTATGGGACAAACTTATTGGAAAGGACAAACAAAGAAAGATGCTATAAAGATAGTGGGACGGAGTGAGTAATAGATATGAATAAATAAAATGACCATATACAAATATATACTGAGTTAATAATTAATTTATTGAGTTATAGCACATTTTCATTTTTCTCAAAATTTTGTTTCCTATGTTTTTCCGGTGCTTCCAACCATCCCATTAAGAAACCATACCTGTTGGAATTGTTTTTCAAGCCACTGGGTGTATCGAACTTTCTCAAGGTCAAAAGTTATTTTTTATTACCATCGTTTTTTTATCTCTAGTACTCCAAGCACAGCTGGAAATTATAAAAATTTGGATGATTAAGTTGACATTTTAATGAAATGGGGGATAGTAATAGACTTTAAGGCTTAACAAGAATATGAATTCAGTTCTTTAAATTCTCATTGTGGATGTATTAGTTTTGTGTAACCTTTAGAGTTTACAAATTTGTATTGTCTTTGTCTTCTTAAAGGTAAATCCTGCAAATGAGCAAATGCTTGGGGGTTATGGAGCTGATGGAGGTAGACTTTAGACTGTAATGTATCAATTTTTTATACTGATTACTAAATAAATATTTGTTGCATGATGTAGCCATACATAAAGCTGCTGGTCCTGAACTAAGAGAAGCATGCTTTAAAGTCCCAGAAGTTAGTCCAACTATTCGTTGCCCCACTGGCGAAGCTAGAATTACACCGTATGCTATTTATCAACCTTAGGCTTTCATGTCATATTAAAACAATTGCTATACTCACCAAGCATTGTTTCGATGTCTATGTGCATGTCTGTATGTATATGTACTGAGTATATATGACATGCTTTGGCTTAAAATGCAGAGGATTTAAATTACCGGCTTCTCACGTGATTCATACTGTGGGACCCATACATTTTAAACACCCTGATCCTAAAACTGCATTGGAAAATTCATATAGGTACTGTTTTAAGTTTTCATTTTGTAGTTTAAGTGATCACGGTATTGTTTCCCCCACAAATTAAGGTTCCGTATGACCATATGGATCCCGAAAATATTAGGGAAGGAAAGTAAGGACGAAAAAGAGAGGAAAAGTGGAAGGAACGAAATTATCGGGGGAAATAAAAGATACTCCTTATTTTCGTTCCACTTTTTATAAGGACTTCATTTTCCCCCAAATACAAAACACCACCTGTTTTCAAAAAAAAATCTTGGAGTATCACTCAAACTCAATTTTATATTTTTCATAATTCTCTAAACATATTGTCTTTGGTTATTTATAAGGACATAACAGTTCGTTCTTTTTACTTTGTATTTTCCAAAGTAAGGGGGTGTTTGGATCTGATTCTTAAAACTGCTTCTTCTTCCTGAGTAGAAGTAGAAGTGAAAGAAGTAGAAGTTATTCCAAAGTGAGGGAGCAGAAGTAGAAGCCGGAGTGTTTGGGTGAAAGTGCAGAAATTATTCTGGTGCACTTTTTTACTCCTAGAATCAGTTTTTTTAGAAGCTGGGGGTGACCAGCTTCTGAAAACTGATTCTGATTCTGCTTTTGCTTTAAAAAAGAAGCAGAAGCAGAATCAGTTCCAAACACCCCCTAAATCCATACATATGAGAATAATTTTCCTTAGCGTAATTTGTCCTTTCCCTAGTATTTTCTGATATCCAAACATATGGTAAGACTTTATCTTCCCACTTAACTGAGTTTTTATTATCTATGTCCTATGATCCTATCGTTTCAGGAACTGCTTACGTGTTGCTAAAGAAAATGGCATCCAGTATATTGCCTTTACAGCTATATCATGTGGTGTCTATGGGTGAGTTTTTACCAATCTACAAAATATTTGGACTATGAAACCTGTGTCTGTCCATTGCAAATTAAGAGTTCTTATCTTTTTTTATGGATCAAAGTAGTTTGTGATACGCCATTAAGATTTTCAAAAGCTTAAATTGTACTACCTATTTATCAATTTATGTAATCCTTTTGAATGAAATAAGTTCTAGACTAGTTTTATCAAATGGCAGTGACATTTTAACTTGCCCATCTTCCCAAGCCTGAGCTGGATTCTTTTCTACTGTAGATCCAAAGGTAGTACAAATAGACATAGTATTAAGATTTGAGGTTTCATCAACAAATTGCAAAAATAGTTGTTCACTTTATACTCTTTTTTTTTTTTAAATTATTACTACATCCGTCCCACTAACATTGGGACATGAGTAGGAGGTGTGGTTATTAAGAAAAATAGGTTTATGTGGTTGATATTGAATTGATAAAGTAGAAAAAAAAGTAAAAATGGTTTAGAACCACACAAACTTTATCAAACTTGGTATGAGACAATCTCAGTGGAATGTACCGTCGTACCGATAAGGAAAGATGAGACAATCTTAGCGGAATGGAAGTAGTAGTATCTAATTTGGGTCCCACAAATTAATCCAGGTATCCGTTTGATGAGGCTGCAAATGTGGCTGTAACTACCGTTAAAGAGCATGGAGGTGGTCTCAAAGAGGTATCATTTATAAGATATTCCCCTTCTATCCCCAGGAAATGCAATATGAGCCCTGTCAGAAAATCTTTTACTACTTCCTGTCCCTGAAAAAAAAAACAGTTTTAATACTAAAATCAGTATTACAAATATGACACCTTTTAATCAGAAGACCAAATAGTTTGCTTCTATTTGCAGGTTCACTTTGTTTTGTTCTCAGATGAAATCTATGATGCTTGGTTGAAGGCGGCAGATGAGCTTCTTCAGAACTGACATTTTCAGTTGTTCTCTCTAGAACCACTTGGATTGGGTTCCGGATATGTGAACCTGAAGAAGGGTTGAGTTGTCACTGTCAGACATCAGGAAGATAGGTTTAAGTGTTGAACTTCATATCAGTTTTAGTTTGAAGTTGCTTATCAAAAAACTGCTATCATCCTTGGATATGATTCCTAGTATGGATCCATTTTAAGGGTTCATTTTATAAAGTTTCATGCTTTTCTGTTTTAGGATCTTTTTTCCGTCAATAAATGAATTAAACTTTGTAGGTCTACTTTGATTAATGTCCTTGCACTCCGTGTGATTTATCATTTATCCAAGAAAGGCCTTAATTAGGCATTGTCTAGAGAGACTCTTTTTCTGCACCTTTATCTATCAAGTTTTATTTGGGCCTCATGTAATGTTTTATTTGGCTTGGTAGTTAAATTTAATAAATGGACAATGTGTAAAAAAAAAAAGTAAAAAACGTCTTGGAATAGTTTGTAAACAAAAAGTCGTTTGTGTGTTTGATATGTTACACTCGAAGTTCTTTTTTACTAAATCTAAATTTTAATGGTTTACATTTGAAGTGTAACGTAATTATGGGTAAAGAGGGATTTAGTTCATGGCATAGTACGACAAGCAACTTTTTTTTTTATCATGGTACGACAAGCAACGTTGAATAACTTCAAAATATACTCCAAATTAAACAAAACTTAAGTTCATGAAAATCCCACGAAGGCCACGATCAACAATTATGCTTCAACAGCATCAGTGTCTTAAGAGGTCTATGATAAGCATGCCGCTATTTTTCACAACTGTCTTTAGCCCTAAAGAAGTATATAAAAATCAAATACGGAGTACAATTTGTTTTTTGTTTTTTTTTTTTGCGAAGAAATACAAAAAAGTTAAGTGGTAACCTACATGGTTCTGTACATTTTTTTTGGAAGTACATATTGGACTCATCATGGGCAAAGAAATGAGTTAAGAGATAGTAACTTCTAAGCACAAAATTCAAATATCTTTGTCCTTGGCTATATTCTGAGGCAATCTGCTAAGACTCTCATCCACGACTTTATACTGTCTAGAAAAGTGTCTGTCTATGTGGTCTTCAAATCTATTGTACAGAGCAGGGAAGACGATGAATATGATGCTTCCTGAAATGTTTCACAGTATTTATGAGAAAAGCAATCTAGTATCAAATAAAATAAGAAGAAAAAGAATTCCTCTAGGAATTACAAGGGGCAGAAAAGTACCCCCCGAAATAATCAGTGAGACAATAGGGTCCCGTTTGGCAGCCATAATTTCTGCCTATAATGCTTATCAATAGAAAAGCACAATAAAAAACATCGAAGCCTTAGTCCCAAAAGATTTTGGGGTCGGCAGATTCACATCGAAGCCATTTAACATGAAACATATGCTACCTAACACTTCTCCAGAAAATTCAGCAGATTCTCAGCCCATCAGACAGATGACTCTTACCAAGGGCCTCAAGTATAAAAGGGTGAGTAACAGAGAAAACGTCCACATATACCTATATATGCAATTGTGAAGAATGATACCATAGTGCCTACGGCAGACAGAAGCCAGAGAAAGATCACTACCTGCATATTACACATATTATGTAGGAATAGTTTAAAGTTTGTTTAGAAACTAAGCTAGCATCACTAATCAATCAAACAAATAAAATGCAGATTAATGATCCATTTGGCATCATTTTTTAAATTTAATGATCCATTTGGCATTGTTATTTGTCTTATTTGCTTATTAACAGAACTATTAGCTTTTGGCTTATTTCGTTAGAATGGATCCCTTTCAGAAATATCAGCCATTTAAGTTACAAGATGCCTTTAAGAAAATTCAGTCATTTAAGCCAAATATAACATTTACCAAATAGGCCACAAGATATTAGTTACAGCAGACGGGAAATCGCACATGATACACGGCGAGTACCAAGCAAGAAGGTCCCAATACATGGAAATTATTCGCCCCACACAGTATCACATGAATTACTGTGAGAAGCACTTTTTCTTCATTGGATATAAAATCCCTTACCAAACAACCCCTAATAAATATAAATTATTTGTGGCAGACGGAAGCACACACGTCATATGGCGAGTAGAACAATCTCCAAGTTTTATATATTTATATACGGAGTATGTATGTGTGTGTATAAGATTGCAGACCTTGAAAAAGAGTATGAAATCTTTCCCCAGAGTGATATCGTGAGCCATAAGCAACATATAGTTGATTTTGGCACGAAAAGAAGCAGCAGCGTTGTTGACCATTTCCTCTGTCAACACTAATTCAGGCAATGTTTGGAGTTGTCTGTGAAATTTAGCATGGGAAAAACTCATTTTTTCACAAATAATGATATTAAAATGGCTTTACATCAAACATACAGATGTAAATAAAGAGTGGCCATACTTTTTTCTAAAAGCAGCAAAATTTGCCCGGAGGAAGAGGAGTATGGTCAAGATGAGAAAGACATCAGAACAGACTGATAAGAATGGTAACCCTGAGTGTTCAAACAACGCCCAAGCAACAGTAGCAACAATGATCATGCCAAACAAGGTACGCAACTGCCTCCACGTAGCTACTTCTGCATCTTTATATTATTATATAGTAGAGATCATCATCAATTACTATATTCAAAAAATAAAAAATGTGAATAAACATTCTCCAAGTACAAGGCAATGTGCTGGCTTCGCTAAAAGCCTAAAATTGTGGTTAAGTATGTTGAATAAGCTTCTCCATACCATCTTGAAGATGGGGGGGGGTACATGATCATTTATCTTCTTTTCAACCAAAAAAGTACTCTGAACCTTCTTCAATACTCAAAACTAATAGTGGTTCAAACAAATGCAGTCAAATAGTTCGCATTTAGAAGAAAAATGTTTAGAAAGGCTCCAAAAAAGAGCATTAGAGAACATGCACAAATACCACTTGTTGCTACATCATTCACCAGAACGCATATAAACAACATTACAATATTACATAACAAGGGTATTGATGCTCATCCTTACCCCCACGGCCCCACCCCCTACTCCATCCTCCGTTGAGCCAATAAAATTTCATGCCCTATCTTCAAGGGTCCATATGTTTTTGGCTTGAGAATATGATGGAATAAAGCAAAATGGCTCACCAAACCGTTTGCACTTCTTTGTTATGAAGCAGCAGTCAGTCCATGCAATTTTGGACGCGATTTTCATTATAGGTCATCCGGAAACAGTCTCTTTGCGCCTGTGCTTTAGTACAGTGGTAAGACTGCGTACATCTGACCCCCCTTACCCCACCGTAGGTGGGAGCCTTTGCGGGACTGGGGTAAATGATGATTGATTATCTTCAAGGGTCCATATGGAACAGGAGTGACTGGAGGAAATGTGGAAAGATTAATTTGGAACAAAAAATTGTTCCAAACTTATTTTATTTGTATATTTCAATTAAGCAAAGACTGCAAAATAGAACAACCACTAAAAAATTGTTTTTCCCTTAAATATTACTGATATAAGAGTTATTGACATAATGAGGCAAAGTTACTTTGACTACGCGTCACGATCTCTACACCAAAAAATTGATCATAATCATGGTCACTCAAGTAAATATTATTGTCACTAAAGTATCAAAGTCACAGTTTTGTCTAATGACTTCATTATCGTCATGTACTTGTCATTATTTCTTAACATTTTTTCATACCACTTTCCATGTTCTACAAGTAGCCCAAGAAAACTTCTCAGCTCATAGAGGCTTTTCCATCACCAGCAAAAGTTGATTAATATAATTCATCTAAGTTCATTCAAGCAGTGTCTACTATGAAAAGGGTAGAACTAGAACCCCGGTAAACATCAAGATTACTAAATTAGAGAACAGTTGAGTCTGCGTAGATAACACAGTCTATCAATATACGGAGTATGAGTTTCGAGAAAAGTTAGAATCTGCTTATATAGCACAGTCCATCAATATACGAGTACTTTAACAAATAAGTGCAAATTCCTTTCGAATCGAGAATAGCATAAAAAGGGAGCTAGCCTCATTAACTATACCACGACCGGCCATGAGCTGATATGGGGGTTGCCGGCCGATTGCGAGAGAAGAGCTCGCCCCAGGCGCCGTTGACGTCGACGGAACGCCGCTAGCGGTGCTGATATTCACTCTGCAATCACCATCTCCCAAGTTGTTACATAGATCTTCAGAGCTCTCCATCTAAGCTGCACTGCCGAAAATTAGCCGTCAAAATTCATATAAATTGAAGAATGCACAGACCCGACGAATGGTGAAAGATCAAATTTCTCCTCTCGTGAAGTTACGGGAAAATGAAAAGCAATGATACCTTGGCCGGTTGTGGGGCCCCGAAGGCAAGCTGGAAATGAATTCTGCGTTTGACTCGACCCGTTTTCAAGGTCGTTAAATCGAATAGTTGTTACAGAACATATAATATCCGAATATATCTGAAAATAAATCAAAGAATGGCACAAAATAAATAGGGAATATTAAAACAGGCCTCCAAATTAACAATATTAACAAGTCATCTTTGCCGTAGTTCCATACGGTACATCAGATATTTTATCTCATATCATTATCGTATTGAAAATTTTCAGTGTGTCAAAATACATATTGTTACTTCCTAAAATTCCGGAATAATAAGATTCGGTATATAAAGAAATTTTGATAGATTAAAGATACAGTAAATGTACGATATTGATAAAATATTATGTATACAGTAAATTTCTTAAATAGGAATAAAAATAACGTAAATTTTCAAAAAATGGATACTAAATGTTTCCTCTAAATAGAAATGGATTACTGTCATAATAATAAATTTTAGCGTCTTATTTTAACATTACTATATTTTACACATGATAATATATTGTGGTGTTGCTATAATTCGTTGTAATTCGTATATGTCAAGTATGATACGGAGTAGTAATTATTTTTATTTAGACAACAAAATATACTTGTGTTTTGAAATTCTAATACATTTTTATTCCTATACAAAGCATTTTTTTTAAAAATGTCCGCTCAAAACTTTGCCAAGAAACTAAACTGTAAGCATTTTTCAAAGCATTCCTCCTGTAACTAGGATGTTTTTACTTGGACTGTAATTTGTCCCAGACCAGACCAGACCAGACCAGTCCAGACCAGACCAGACCAGTTCAGACCAGACCAGACCAGACCAGACTTGGATAGTTATAAAAATACAAAGAAATCAGACCTTACCAGACCAGACCAGACCAGTTCAGACCAGACCAGACCAGACCAGATCAGACCAGACCAGACCAGACCAGCAAATTACAGTCCAAGTAAAAACATGCTAACATGACTTCTAGAAACGAAATAATAGACTTAACTATTTATTCCGTCGCTTAACTATTTGAAAGAGGGGAGTAAAATGTTGATTATTGGGTAGCAGATAAACATGCAATCGTAACTGTTTCGCTTCTGTTTTCAGATGCTTCACAATCTTCGCATCTACAGATACTGAATTCATTTGATGGCGCCAAAATCCTCACGCGCATTTCGGAGACTGTGATCCACTCTCCGGATTTTCCTATATTGTTTGATCGTGCGACCGCGTTCAACGGTGATGGAGACGCCGAACACCTCCCTGCGTCACCTCCCACTCCCCCCTTCTCACTCTTGACTGAAATCTTCACGCAATTATCAATCAATTCACGTGCAACTTGCCACACCAAACTGTAGTTGACTAAACACGCTTGTTTTGCCCTAGTCTGATTATTTCTGCGATTTTGTAGATATATTCGGACACTGCATCAGTTTTGGATCTGCGTGGAAGCGTAAACTTTGAGCTGGAGATACCGTTGACGGTCGGCTGATTATATCATTTCCATTGCGTCCAGGTGCGGATTTTTACCGAGGTTCAGGAAGTTTTATCGTAATCTCGTTTGGATTGTGTAAAATTATGGCTGTTTGGATCTGGATGTAGGAGTCGGTGCTAAAAGGATGAATGAGAACAAGCGGTTTCAGTTGGGCACCATTGGGGCTTTGAGCCTCTCTGTGATTTCATCGGTGTCGATTGTGATTTGCAATAAGGCGCTTATGAGCACTCTACGGTTCAAATTTGGTGAGTCAGTTTAACGGCTCTCCTTACTACTTTTAGTAGAAAAATGTTAGCCTCTACTCAGTTTATGTAATTCTGAAGGTGGCTAAAAATTAGATGCAATAGACAAAGATACCACTGACATTCATTTTCTGGATACTTTAGAATCTGTATAAGTAACATGAATATCCTTTGTCTATATATGAATTAAAGTATGTGTTGGTGACGTATTAGTTATCCTTTCAGTGGAAAATTTGTTAGAATATACTCAGCTTACGTAATTCTCTAAAAGTTCGGTAGGCAGACAAATATCATAAGTAAGGTTGCTTACCTGATTAATACGTTTTTTTATCATATGTCGATCCATGTTAGCCGACCCCGAGCTCTTCTGGAAATAAGGTTTGGATATCGTTATTGTGACTTAATATCGGTTAGGAAGAGGTGGCTCGTGATTTGCCTTAGAGTTTCTTCGGACAGAGTAATTCATTTTCATTTTCATTTTGGTTGCAAACTTGCAGCATTACAAACTTTTGAAAGTATATGCAATTTGCTTTGGAAATTGCAGAATGCTTATAATTAATGTTAATGTTCTTTTACTTGAAAGTATTAAGGGAGATTGACCACAACACAAATATTGGCTGTGTATTACAAACTTTTACAAGTATTCGTTTGTTATTTAGACTTGATATCGGCTGTGACGAGATGGCTCCTGATTCGCTTTAAAGATTTCCTTGTGATTGTGATGTCATTTATGTAATTCTGAGTTTGGCAAAAAAAATTGTAGGAACTGACAAAGAGAAACACGTAAGCTATTTTCTGGAAATGGTAGAATGCCCATAATTAATGATGATGCAATTGTACTTACGTAAGTTTATAGAAAAGTGTTTTTTTGTTATTTATACTTGATAGGTTGTGAAGAGGTGGCTCATAATTCAATTTAAAACTTAATTGTGATTGTGATGTCATTTCTAGTTCGGCGCAAAAAAGTCATTTTTCTGAGATCTGAAAAATGCCTAAATACACTCTCATTAATGTATGACATAAATGTTGGCTTTAATTTTGATTTTGTAGAATGGTGTTCTAGTAGTTTTTATTATCTTTTTTCTGAAGTGGGAAATAGATAAATTAATCAACCTCTAAGACGAAATTTACATTTTATTCCTTTATTACACAGCTACGACTTTGACAAGCTGGCATTTATTAGTTACATTTTGTTCCCTCCACGTGGCACTCTTGATGAAACTGTTTGAGCACAAGTCTTTTGATTCAAGAACTGTGATTGGATTTGGTATTCTTAATGGGATCTCAATTGGATTGCTGAACCTTAGCCTTGGTTTCAATTCTGTGGGTTTCTATCAGGTATTACCTAATGTCTTCAATATTCTCCCTTTTTGCTTCTAATGCAAGGTCAAGTATACTCCATACTGTTTGCTAATACAATCTTTCTACAACTTTTTATCTTAGATGACAAAGCTTGCTATCATCCCTTGCACTGTTCTACTAGAGACACTTTTCCTGAGCAAAAAGTTTAGGTCAGTCTATTACATTTCAGGCATCTTGAACAAAGTTGATCTGCTCTTTCTATATGCCTGATTCGAGTGTTTCAGAGGCTATTTTGAACCATTTAGAGGAATTGTTTTGCCTAAATACACTCCCTCCACCATTTTATTATTATATGATGTATTAGGATATAGCAAAGGATGCATGAAGATTTTGTTTTTGTTTGTCTCTGTTTATCTTTTTTATCCTTTTATCTTCCTTATGCTCTTTATTCTATTATGCTTTTTATTATATAAATATATATATATATATATATATATATATATATATACTACCTCCGTCCCGGTGGACTTTGCCAAGTGCAAAGTAGGTGAGAAATAAGAATAGTAACAATTGTGTGGTTGAGATTTGTGCAGATGAGAGAGAAATGTGCAGAACCACAAATTAGTTGCTTTAATAGAAAAGTGGAAAAGTTTTTTGGGACAACCAAAAGGGGAAAGTTGGCAAAGTCCAATGGGACGGAGGGAGTATATATATATATATATATATATATATATATATATATATATATATATATATTCTTTTTATCTTTCTTTTCTTTTTACCTTTGATATTGTGTTCGGATCATGTTAGCCGACTCCAATATGTTTTGGGACTAAGGCTTGGATGTTGTAGTTGTAATAGTTAAAATATGTATTGGAGGTTTATCAATATGCAAAAAAAGGTTTTGTAGAAATGTGGACTTGGAACTATAAAAAATTAAATTAAAAGCTTCCATTTCTCATTAGATATTGTTTAAGCATCAACTAATAAATGAAAAATCCAAAAGGCTAAGACATCGAAGAATTAAAAAATGGAGGGAGTATTTGATCGCTGATCATGTGGTACTATTTTAATTGGTTGATGAAATAATTATTCTATCTCCTAAATATCATCCAAGTGGAGAACGTGAGGTGATACCGTGATAGCGTTACTTTCTGGATATAAGTCTATATGATTTTCTATATCATAGTAATTAAGAATGTACCTCACCCCCAGGTTTGTGTGTGTGGAGTTGTTGTATAACTTTAATTACTATTTACTTATAAAATACTCTTCAAGTCTTCTAAAAGAATGTGTGATCATCACTCTCTTTCACCCCCCCCCCCCCCACCCCCCTTCTCTCTCCCATTCAAACACATACACGTCTAACGTCTATATTTGTTGTTCCGTACTGAGTGAAACATTCCTTTTGTTTAACAAATAATTTGCTTTATCCTTTCCTACTTCTGACATATAATTGCACTTGTTGTAACTACAGTAGGAGCATTCAGCTTTCTCTATTCATCTTACTTTTTGGTGTTGGAGTCGCAACTGTTACTGATTTGCAACTCAATGTCCTGGGCTCTATCCTGTCACTCCTTGCAGTACTCACAACTTGCATTGCCCAAATTGTATCCTTTGCTGTGGTTATATGTACTTTATAATCCTTATGTGTTCTTTTTAACATCAATTTAAACAAATATATACATGCCAGTATTACCAGTTTAAATCGTCAACTCTTTATTCAGTGTTAGTGGTCATGATGACTTGATATCATCTTTTTTCTCTTGATTCTTAAATGCATAATCAGGATTTTCAGTTGTTCCATGCTTCTATATTTTATTAAGCCTGAAATATTTTATATTTCTACATAATATATTTGTATATCTCAGTCCTCAGTCTGAGATTGTCCAGTGCAGACTGCAGAGTAGAAACTTGTTTTGACATTTCAGAGTATGTGCATCCATTATGGCCATTAAATTTGACTGCTACTCTTTTTGTGGTCTGTAGTGACTCATTTCTTACTCCCTCCGTTCATTTATAGCCATCCATCAAGGAAGTTTTGTAGGTTTTAAGGTCAACAATAGTTTTCATACAAAATTACATACTCTATTGATTTCTAGACATTGAAAGTAGAATCATGCTAACCAAAGCTCTTATGGAAATGGTTAAGAAACTAAAGTTTAAATGTCTTTAATTAAAAATCATATGAATGTATTTTCTACATATCGCAATGAATATATTTTGTAATCCTATAAAAACTTACCTCCTTTGATTCCATAAACAACGCCCTTACTCCTAAGTGCTATGAGTAGCATTGGCCTAAAAATAACATGCAAAAGCAAAACTAATATGGCAGGGTAACTTAGTCAATATACATTCTCGTATTGGTTACTAAATGGATAGCTATCCACCAGCATAGTGTCTTTAGTTATTGGAGAATTATTTAACAACGAAGAGAGTAGTTTTGGATGTTTGACCATTATGATTAAAAGAAGATTTAAAAGAAAGTAATATGTTTTTTATCTTCATTTTGCTCTGTTTTAGACTATAGGCAAAAGTGCACATGCTCCTGTTGTACTGTAACAATTCATGGGAAAGTAGTTCTTAATACATTTCATTCAGATGACAAATACCATCCAGAAAAAGTTTAAGGTCTCCTCAACGCAGCTGTTGTATCAAACATGTCCTTATCAAGCGATGACTCTATTTGTTTCCGGGCCATTTCTGGACAAGTTTTTGACCAACCAGAATGTGTTTGCTTTCCAATATACTCCGCAAGTGCTGGTACACACAAGTCTAAATTTTACAGTGTTTTTACTCCATCTTTGAGCAATAATTTTCAGATCTAATACTCCATATTCAATATTTCAGGGATTCATTGTTATGTCCTGCTTGATATCAATTTCTGTTAACTTTAGCACATTTCTTGTGATTGGAAAGACATCGCCTGTCACCTACCAAGTTCTTGGGCATCTTAAAACATGTTTGGTATTAGCGTTTGGTTATGTCCTACTTCGTGATCCATTTAACTGGAGGAATATTCTTGGGATCCTGATTGCAATGATTGGCATGGTTCTTTACTCTTATTACTGCACTCTAGAGTCACAGAGAAAAGCTACGGAAGATTCGCCCCAACAACTTCAGGTGCTATATCTTTCACATTCTTCTTTCTGCAATCATTGCCCTTAAATTCACTAAGCACTGATTCGGATTATGGTGGGAATATGGTTTTGACACTTGTATTTATTTTAGATATATTGAGTTTAACAAGTGGTGTGTAAAATTTTAAAGGGCTAAAATAGAAATATCTTATTCTCTATCACAAAAGTCATCATTGGTTAACTTTTTTGTTAATGTAGGTTTTTGGAACCACGAATCAAAATTTTGTCCAAAACTAAAATGCACTTTCGATTTCATTGAATTGAAAGACAATTTTTCTACGTGGAAAACCAGAGGGGCTCTATGGGTGTATTTAGTTAGGGATTATTGGAGGGAGGGGAGGAAAAATGTTCCCCTTCCCCTCACTCGGTTATAGGAATTGGAAGGAGAGGGATTAAGTTCATCCTCTCCTCTTATTCTTCTCACCCTACATAATTTTTTAGGAGAAGCTATTCCCCTCCTCTCCCCTTCAACATAACGAAACGAAGTAACATACAGCACCCCCTTCCATCATGCCAAGGACACCCTAAAGAGCATCTAGTAGGGTGTCTAGCTCACCTAGAATCAAGCTGTTCTACGGGCAGCTAGCTGAATTTTTAGAATATGTGTTCACTATGAAGTTGTTCATTTCAAGGCATTTCAAGCACACTTGACAATTTAATGCGTCCCACTTTCCTAACGTAAATTTTATGGCAAATAATGCAGCCACAGGAAGATGAATCAATTCCCTTGGTACGCTTGGAAAATGGAAGTGCACGTTACAAATGATGTTAATATATCCTTTAAAAGTTAGCTGCAGAGCTTGAAGCATTTGAACAAATGAGTAAAAGCTATAATCTACATTTTGGTGCAACTCAATCAGATATGGTTAAGTTGTGACAATATATCTGATGGGGAGAAAGTTGTTCAGTACAAGTAATTGAGTCCCTAGACGAACGACTTTTCCACCTCATATATTCTTTGAATTTAGTATACATATGATATCACGGTGCTATTTGATGTAGCAAAATGCTTATTAGATCTTTTCACGAGGTAGGATAAAAGTTAGCTTGGTTGAGCTATATACATAAGAAAGCTTTCTATTTACAAGTGAATAATGTGATATCTGAAACATGTTTCAAAAATTGCCATCAGAATTCTTACAATTTTTAAAAAGAAAGTCCACCGTCATGATATTATTCTAATTATTATTATTACCTCATTTTGTCACGTGAAGGTAATATTAGACTATTAGTGTTCCGGTCAAGGTTTGAGATTGTGTATTGCGTAGCCATGACACTTTTAAAATGAGGTAAGTGTCATATTGGTACACGAAGTTGAATAAAAAGGGTCAAATAAGTCCTTACTATCCGGCCATCGCCATTTGGGGCGGTTCCCGATGAAATTTTTTGATGAAATTTTTTGAACATCTTATTCATTAAGTCTAGTTTACTCATACCAAATTTCAGCTAACAATTCAATCGGGAAGACATTCAAATGAAGTCTTGACGATAACTGCTCTTTTAACTGCACATTTATCTTCAAGAATTCATTTGCATGCCTTCCCGATTGAAGTTTTAGCTGAAATTTGGTATGAGTAAACTAGACTTAATGAATAAGATACTCAAAAAAATTCGTCAAAAAACTCCACAGGGAAGCACCCCAAATGGCGACGGACGGACAGAGCCTCCTATATAAGGACTTATTTGACCCTTTTTTTTGCAACTTCGAGTACCAATCTGACACTTACCTCCTTTTAAAATTGCATAAGCCTCAATTAGGGATGGACCTGGGTCGGCCCTAAAAAGTTCAAGAAAATGGGCCCAAACTGCTATATTTCAGGTTTGGGTTTCTTCCGGGTCTTCTCGCGGTTTGGTCATGGACCTCAACCTATTTCTTAACTTGTTTCAAGCGAAAAAATAGGCCAGTCTAGCATTGAAATCTGGACTAGAATTGCCCGGTTCGGTCCCATATATAGGACAAGGCTTGCCAGTAACCCGATCAGGTCCCTGGTTTTGGTTTTGAACTGGGAGTGTACTTCAGGCCCAATCTGCTCCCACATAGTACCTGACCCGGTTCTGAATCAAGCCGGACCGCCAGACTAGGTCCACCCTTAGCCTCGTTGCGCAATGATGTTAGGGGTGGACAAGATACCAATCACGAGACTAATTGATTTTTGACCCAGGTCGAAAAATAAGGTTTTGAGTAGGGCTGGACTCGGTCTGGTTCGGGCCCGGTTCGGGCCGTGAACCGGCCGGGCCTCGGTTTGTAGAAGTTGGGCCCGGGCCCTACCCGCTAGTAGACGGGTGCCGGTTCGGGCTGGGTGACCCGGCCGGGCCCCGGGTCGGGTGAACCGCCGGGTCGGGCCTGTAATTTTTTTTAATGTTAAAATATACATCTTTTGGATATTATAAAACAATCTTCAAGTGCATTTATGTGAAAAAGGAATTACATTTGAGAATTGAGAACAATTAAATCTAATACATTTTGTAATAAGTAATAATAATATAATATAATTAATTGTAAGTTTCTAACTTTCTAAGTTGTAAGTTGTAACTTGATTAATTTGAGAATTGCGACATATAAAAAAATATAATGTATATTGATTTGAAACATGAACTACAAATCTACAAGTTGACAAATTACAATAGAGAATTGAGGATAAAATAATAAATTGTAAAATACTAATCAATCGGAATCTCCGGCATAGGTAGAACCACCCTCGGTTGATTCATCCATAAAGTCTTGGGAGGGGGTGATGCTAACTTCTTGAGTTCTACGTCTTGCCTTCAACCAATCGTGGTAGCATATAAGCGTCTCAAGAGATTCAACACTCAAACACGTTCTCGATTTAGTTAGGACGTTGCCGGCCGAACTAAATTCTTGTTCCACGGCAACTGTTGAAACCGGCATTGATAGTACTTGCTTAGCCATCCGTGCTAAAATCGGGAACATTCTTTCTTTTGACTTCCACCACTTTAGGACGTCAAATTCTTCATTTTCTACAAACTCAGCCTCATAGTTAGTATACAAAGCAATCTCATTAATTGTGCTTTGTTCAGTAGTGTGAGTTGTTTTATTTTTTTTCATAAGATTGCCAAATGCAGATTTAAAAAGTGATTTTCCTTTAGATGGAGATGTTTGGGTCGGGGGAGGGGGCGCGTTGCCATATTGTGCACGAAACTCATTAAATAAAGAATAGAATAAACTACTAACCTCGTTGTATTCAGATTGCGGATCTATAGGGTTATCTTCATAAATTGGAAAATCACCATAAAAAGATTGATAATAGAACTTGTAGCATTGTTCCAAATTACCAAGTCGATAACGAGGATCGAGAATAAATGCAATACCATAAATATGCGGAATATGTGCATAATATTTTAAAAACTTTTCCTTCATAAAACCACAAAAATAGCTCACATAATCGGCATTTGCAAATTCATTAAAAGCACCGGCGAGATTAACAAGTTCACGCATAAATTCGTTTGAAGTAGGTTTATAAACATGACTAAAACTTTCAGTTGCATTATTAAAATACATCAAAACATTATAAATTTTTTCGCAAGTGTCAATGTGAGCGGAGTTTAAAATGTAGTTATCATATTCTTTTAAAAAAGTAGGAAAATGTTCTTTATATCTAATAAGAACTCTAATTAATTTATAAGAACTATTCCACCGAATAGACAAATCTTTAGGAAAAGCAACATATTTCACATTTCTTTCATTCAAATAATTTTTCCATTTTAATTTAAGTTGACCATTAGCCCAAATACGTCTAATCCCCCCTTCGCTACCTCCATAGCATCTCCCAACGCTTTTAGACCATCCTGCACACATAAATTTATTATATGGCATGCACATCGTTGATGAAAAAATCTACCCATCAAAGTAGTAGAACCACACAATTCACGCAATCTAGGTATAACAGCAGTATTATTAGTAGCATTATCAAAACCTATAGCAAACACCTTATTAACCAAATTATACTCAATTAAAATACGCTCAATCAAAATATAAATATGTTCAGCGGTGTGACGATCATTAAATTCACGAAAAGCAAGAACACGTTTATGCATATTCCAATCATCATCAACATAATGTGCAGTCAAACCCAAATAATGTAAATTATGATAGGTGTCCTCCCATATGTCAGAACAAACAGTAACACGCCCATCATAGTTTGCAAAAAAAATTTGCCTCCCATATGTCAGAACAAACAGTAACACGCCCATCATAGTTTGCAAAAAAAATTTGTAAGTTTGCCTTTTCCGCCTTATAAAGCCTTATAATTTCTTTCTTAACCGTTTTTCGACTAAAACTTCGAAATTGAGGATTTAAACAAGTTTGTGCATACTCTTGAAAAGAAACACTTTCAGAAAACAGATAAGGTAAATTTTCTTCAACCATAAAGTTAGCCATACCCGTCAAATTTTGTTGATCACTGTACGAGAAATTACCATAAGGTTGGTTATTTGCAAACCTCGATATTTGTGTTTGCTTCCCCTTACCTTTCTCAATTTTTGCGTACTCCACCTTGTGCTTGCCCATAAGATGCCTTTTGAGGCTCCCGTATCCGCCCGAAGTTCCCAAGCTATACACCTTATCACAATGGTTGCAACTTGCGTACCATTTCTCGGTGCTTGGGTCTTTATACTTTTTAAAATTATTTTCTATAATAGGAGATTTAGATTTCGTACCTGTTTGGGATGAACCACCCTCGTCCTCCGCCTCTTGCTCCTCATCCGGGGTGCCATGACTCCCGGCGCCCCCCGCGTCCTCCTCCGGATCGTCATCCTCGAGCCCTTCTTCGTCAATGGTGTGAATCTTGTCCGGGATGTCTCGTTGATGGAAAAATCGCCCATCATTTTGAGCCAATATTAATTGTTGATGTTGCTCGTCGGATATCACATGGCCATCTCGCCGTTGGTATTCTGGTTCAAAATCTTGTCGACTTTTAGAAGAAGACCCGGACTGCCCGGTATTCTTGCGCAAACTAGGATGTGTTCTCGCAATCTCCTTCTTTCGGTTACGTTGGGGATTTCCCATATCTACAGAATGTCTACCACGGTCCATCTTAACAAATATAAAAGTATATCAAATATTTTAATATGAGTACAACAGTAATAATAAAATGCAACAATTAACTAGTTTTATACTTTAATTAAAATGTAACAATTAACTAGTTGTACACTTTAATGAAAAATGCAACAATTAACTAGTTTTATACTTTAATTAAAATGTAACAATTAACTAGTTGTACACTTTAATGAAAAATGCAACAATTAACTAGTTTTATACTTTAATTAAAATGCAACAATTAACTAGTTTTATACTTTAATTAAAATGTAACAATTAACTAGTTGTACACTTTAATGAAAAATGCAACAATTAACTAGTTTTATACTTTAATTAAAATGCAACAATTAACTAGTTTTATACTTTAATTAAAATGTAACAATTAACTAGTTGTACACTTTAATGAAAAATACAACAATTAACTAGTTTTATACTCTAATTAAAATGCAACAATTAACTAGTTTTATACTTTAATTAAAATGTAACAATTAACTAGTTGTACACTTTAATGAAAAATGCAACAATTAACTAGTTGTACACTTTAATGAAAAATGCAACAATTAACTAGTTTTATACTTTAATTAAAATGTAACAATTAACTAGTTGTACACTTTAATGAAAAATGCAACAATTAACTAGTTTTATACTTTAATTAAAATGTAACAATTAAATACTTGTACACTTTAATGAAAAATGCAACAATTAACAAATGAACTAATAGCAAAATGACAAATGCAACAATTAACTACTTTTATACTTTAATTAAAATGTAACAATATTCTATTAACTACTTGTAGGTAATAGAATTGTATAAGTGTATAACTAATATATAATATAATGTTTATAATATATAATGTATAAGTGTATTACTATAAGATGACTAATACAATGAACTAATCAAGTAATGTTAATACAATATTAAACAAATATACTTCGAATAAAAAAAGTATAATATATATAAGTATAATATATATAAGTATAATATATATAGTAATTCGAATATAGTATAATATACTTTGAAATTCGAATATATAATACTACTATATATAGTAATTCGAATATATCTATATAATGTTTTATATATATATAAATATATATATATATATATATAAGTATATTTTATATATAATGTTTATAGTATATAATATATAAGTATACTACTATAAGATGAGTAATACACTTATATTGAATACTACTATAAGTATATATTAAGTAGATAATAAATATTAGTAAAGTACTATATGTATATATAAGTAGATAATAAATATATATAAGTAGATATAATAATAATTAGAGATTAAGTAGATAAGGAATATAAGTTATATAATATATATATATATATGTAAAGTAGATAATTACAAGATAATAAATATATATTAAGTAGATAATAAATATTAGTAATGTAATATATGTATATATAAGTAGATAATAAATATATAAGTAGATATAATAATATTTATATAAATAATATATATGTAGAGATAATTGGAGAAGATGAAGATGGAGATGAATGAAGATTTTAGAGATTGAGATTTGAGAGAATAGAGAATTAGAGAGTAGAGAATTAGAGAGTAGGATTGTATGAAGAAGGTGTAAAAAATGTATAGAAAATAGGAGTATAAATAGGTTTTTTTTTTCTCCCCCCCCCCCACCCCCCCACCCCCCCTCCAACGGCTATAGAGCCGTTTGGAGGCTCCCCAAAGACCCCCAATGGCTATTAGAGCCGTTTGACAGCCCAAAAATTTTTTGTTTTTTTTTTATTAAAAGTTCCGTTAGGCCCGGACCAGGCCGGTTCAAGATTATGAAGGCCCGAGCCCGGACCGCCCTACCCCTGGGCCGAGTAGGCCCGGACCGCCTGAGGCCCGCTAGACCGGGTCGGGCCGGTTGCTACAGTGGCCGGGCTGGGTCGGGCCCGGTTCGGGCCGCCCGACCCGAGTCCAGCCCTAGTTTTGAGTCGAGATTGAGACTAGAAGGGGAAAAGACCTAAAGGGGCTATGGGTGGACCGCGACCGGTCGGACCGGCCCGGTGCCCGCCCCGGACTGCCACTGTGCAGTACCGGACCGGACCGGTTGACCGGGACTGAGCCTGGGGCCTGGGCCGGTCCCGGAACCAACCCGGGCCGATACCGGGCCGAATGCCCAACAAATTTGACCCGCCCAAGACCTGACTGGGCCTAGTCCACCCCTAAAAGGGGCTCGGATCTTCAGAGTCACTTTTTGTGACTAGTTTTTAGTCGATTTCGATTTTGGTCCCATCTTTTGCATTACAACCTTTGGGCAGCATTTTAAAAGGGTAGGCAGGATTCATTTAAAAGTTGAAAAAAGGTGGATAGGGAGTAGGGAGGGGGTGGAGGGTTTTAAACTAAACAAGAAATTGGGGATGGGGTCAGTGGAGGGATCGGAACCGGCCTAGCACAAAAACACAAGTCCCTGTCGTGCGCCTCGCTATCTTTTTTTTTTTATTTAGAAATGACCAAGGAATAGACCGGGTCACAAGACAGCATCGATGCCTACTCTTGCCCCAAGTTGTGCTCACTATGGAAAGTGGAAAGATACATTTATTCTAAACATGCAGTTTGTACATGGCAGTTTGTACACGCCGGTCAAATTATCTGTGTACAAACAATTTGACCGGCGTTTTATGAAGAAAAAAAAATCCACACAAAAAAAAATTATCTGTATCACAAACAATTTAAAATGTCTGTGATAAAGACAAATTTTGTTTTTGTCTGTGTGATAATCAATTTTTTCATAAAACACCTATCAAATTGTGGTACAAACAATTTGACCAGCGTGTACAATGTCGTGTACACGAAGCGGGACTGATCTATCTATCTATAGATGGCTTTTATAGAATGCCGAAAGATGCATCTTTCTAATAAGTATTGCAATTGCAACTTTACAAGTGAACTGCGAAAGTATAGTATCTGACAGCGAAGTCAACATGTTTCTTTTTACATATGACGGGAGTCTTAGACTACACTTTCTTGAGGACCTACCAATTGATAAGTATTAAAACAACATAAGTTTTGGTTAATGGTAAAAAATGAATAATGATATCATAATTGTATGGGAGTTGGGTTTTGGTCACCTTACTAGACGGTCCTTGTCCAATTCAGAAACATGACCTTGTCTATCCCAGGTCCCTAAACCCTTGCTTATTATCGATGCATAATCAGTTGATGTACTACAACTTAAATTTAATTGCTAAATAAATTGTTATATGTGAATAAAATACGCAACAGCTTTTGATGTGAACTTTGCGACTGTAACTAAAACATACTCCTAATACGTCTACTCAAACATGAATTCTAATATTTGTATGATTAAGTAGAAATAAAAACATATTAGTCTTTTTTTATCTAACGACCAAATATATACTCCCTCCATCCCATTTAAAGGTTCTCGTCCACTATTCACATGGTCAACTCAAATCATTCTTAACCTTTTGTTTTATATATATATATATATATATATATATATATATATATATATATATCAAATCTTTATGAAATTTATATTTTTTTAATCAGGCTTTGTAGCGACTTTAATGTAGTTTCTAAATATATAAATTTTATTTACTAGAAATAATCAGTCAAGCATCGTAACGCGAACCGGGAACCTCTATATGGGAGTAGTGGTGGACTCGGGTCGGGCCACCCAGCCCGTGAACCGGCCCGGCCTGCTACTGTGCGGGCCCGGGACCGGCCCAGTTCACCGGTCCGGGTACCGGGCTTTGACCCGGCCGAGGGGGAGACGGTTCCGGACACGGTGCTGCCAAAATGAGACCCGGACTGGCCGGGCCCGGTTCGGGCCAAAATCAATTTTTTTTGTTTTTTCATTTTTTTTTATTCCAACGGGTTGGGCTGGGTGTTTTTTTTTTTTGGGGGGGGGGGGGGTTGGGGGGTTAATTAGAAAAAGCAAATATATATATATATATATATATATATATATATATATATATATATATATATAAAGAGGCCCGGCCCGGACCCAGACTGGACCCGGTAGCTACCCGGGCCGGTCCCGGGCCCAACTATTCATAACCAGCGGCCCGCCCGGGCCTAGGCCCAGCCCGGACCCGAATCCACCCCTATATGGGAGTATGGGACTGAGGGAGTATTAGTTTAGAAATAAGAAGATAGCAGTCCTACATAGGAGAAGTATACATATATGGTCATGTTTGGGGTGATTCTTATTATTCTTATACTCCGTAGTTGTTATGGTTATTATTATTATTTTGATACCAAATAATATCAAATACCATCCAAACACATATGCTAGATTGCAGTTCTAGTACCATTAAATTGATATCAAACACCATTCAAAATAATTACGTACTATCAAATTAAACAATTACATCAGATTATTGGAGTGTCAACACATACATTTGTAGAATTGATTAACATGCCCGAGCTCGGGTCAGCGCAATTCAACTGGATCGACTCATAATACAAAAATTGTGGTGTTACATTTCAATGCAAGGAACCAGTTATGGTTACTAGTTTTCTACCATTATCCAAGTATTTGAGATTTAACATCATCCCTTTATAATCCAACCACACACTGAAAAGGATCCCTCCAAGCAACCTTTAGGATGCGGATGTTGTTCATTGTGTGTGTATATTGCTCCAGAAACATCCAAACAGAAAATGCGTGACAAGCCCTAAATTACCTGCTCTTTATCCAAGCTGTTGTAGTTCCTTCACAATTCGTACACATTCGCCCATGCGACAATTTGTCTTGATTGCATTGGAAGCAATATGCGATCTACTAGCAGCATACCCTTCCTGGGAGTGGACACACATTTTGCATAAACATACGTAGTATATTATTAGAACAGGGAAACAAGTATGCAGGCTTAAAAATACTCCCGTAAGTTTTTATTGCTGGAATTTAAGTTGTTTTTGCTTTTTTTGTCCATATAAATTGTTGTTGGCTTAAAATTAAATATAATGTTTTTGTCTCTATAAGTGTTTTTTTATTTATGTAAATGTCCTTGTTTTTTTCTCGTCCATCTCTGTCAACACCTGTATAAAAAAACTGAAAGGGCTTATGAAACTAAAGTCTTACCTTCTAAAGTCTTTTTTTCCACTTTTAGTCCTCCGACTATTATGTCATTGACATTTTTGGTACTCGACTTTGATTTTTTCCATTTCTAGTCCTTGACTATTGTGCTAGAGACACTTTTGGTACCTGTCTTAGAAATTTTCCATATTTAGTCCTTCAACTTTCATAAAAGCGATACTTTTGGTCCTTCAACTATTATAATAGTGATGTTTTTAGTCATCCATTTATTGTGTCAAAATCATAATGGGAGGACTAAAAGTGTCAATTTGACAATACTCAGGGACCAAATGCGGGAAACCTTGAAGTGAGGAACTAAAAGTGTATGTAGCCCAATAGTCAAGGACTAAAAATGGAACAAATAGAAGTCGAGTACCAAAAGTGTCATTGACATAATAGTCGAGGGACCAAAAATGGCAAAAACTCTAAAGTCTTATTTCCAAATCATTTCAACTTTCTTTATCTTGACTGTTGCTATTTGAGATGTAGGGGATTACCAGAAAACTTACCGTTACAACTTTTAATTAACACTTCTCTAGTTTTCTGGGAACAAAATATTAAGCATCTACTAAAAAATAAATAACATGGAAAAGCCATATTGGATCCTTTGAGCAACAGCATTTTTAAAATATGGAGGTTATCGGGATAATAAAGATCAATAAAAAAAGGAAGTGTAGTAACATATACACATATAGAACAACGATTTGTTACTGTAACCTAACACACCAAAAAACGCTATATGTGAGGATATATTTTAAATCCATTAATGAATGTACGTGATAGGTCTTAACAGAAGCAATGAGCTGAGAATCACGATAAACTTCACCAGGGAAAGACAAAAGCTTTTCTGATTTCTAAAATGATTCACTGACTGGCAATTTACACCGCCCATGCTTCCATGCTTCAAGTGAAAGAGTTTAATCCATATTGTTATTTATTACATCTCAACAAAATTATGAAGGATGGTTGGGAATGGAAGGGATGCACGATGTAAACCGACATGAACGTGTGGGGCATATATATACCTTTTGCAGGGAAGTCAGTATTGAATTGAGGGGAGGGGAATTCACTTTTGCTCGACTTGCTATCTGCACTAATACACACAAAAAAAATATAACAACCAGAGGATGTCCCCTCTGTGGTTGATAGAGGGAGAAACTTTCCTACATACACACACACCGATATATATATATATATATATATATATATATATATATATATATATATAGAGAGAGAGAGAGAGAGAGAGAGAGAGTAATCTTCCGGTCAGGACTTCCTGACCGGAACCGCGTCCGGACGCCACCATTTGATGTGGTTCCCGGTGGAATTTTGTGGTGAAATTTTTTGAGCATGTTCTTCGTGAAGTTTAGTTTATGCCCACCTAATTTCAGCTAAAAATTCAATCGGGAAGGCAGACAATATTTTTTTGAAGATAATTGTGCCAAAATATACATATAAAATACAGTTATTTTCAAAATTTTATTTGTCTGCCTTCTCAATTGAATTTTTAGCTGAAATTTGGTGGACATAAACTACAATGCAAGAAGAACATGCTCAATAAAATTTATCAAAAAATCCCACCGGGAACTACCTCAAAGGTGTTGGAGATATACCTCATATTGCTGTAATTAGTAGTTGCAGATATACCTCATCCACTTTTATGTAACCAACTGGCAGATTGGGGCCACACTCATCAATCATCTGATTTAACAACTTTTCAAGATCTCTTCCTGTGCCATTGCCTATCCATCCCCATTTGTTGGCTAAGTTTAACATTTCTCTAAGATGTGATTCTTTGTGGAGAGGCCCTGTCCATACTGGTCCTGAAACAGCAGGAGAATGTTCCTGAACCTGTAAAGACATTAATGGCATAAACGAATCTAATTTGAGATAACTTTAAGGGTCTATTTGGATGGAGGGTTTTGGATGGCTTATCCAATACCATTATAAATAGAATGTGTCTTGAAAACGAAAAATAGGTGATTCAAATGTCATACAATCACTTATTATGTTACCCTTTCATTTTTATAAAATCTGAAAAATACTTTAAGATATAGGCTAAGACCTTCACAAAGCCTTCCTCTATAAAACCCTCCCAAAATTAGATCTATATTTCAAACAGACACTGATTTTTAAGGTGTGAAATCCTACATTTGCTAAGCATGAACAGCTGACTTTCCCAAGTTCTTCCCAGGGGAATGCTCTTGAATCACCACACTGACTACAGTAGCTCACGAAGCCATAATGCCTGGTATAAAAAACCAATGGCATTACTACATAATAGTAAAAGCAACACCAATATTATGGGGTTTCGTTTGGAAGACAGTTCTGTATTACTTTAAATGTCAGCAGAATAATAGCCTATCTGACAAGGACAAATTTGGTTGAAATAACTGAAGTTGCAGTAATTGTGGTTAATGTTGATGAAAATGCGGAATTATGAACACATGTATTCAAATAATATTCTTCTTCATCATCATCATCACCCCAGTGCCGCAAAGGCTCCCACTTACGGTGGGGTAAGGGGGGTCGGATGTACGCAGTCTTAACCCTGTACTAAAGCACAGAGAGACTGTTTCCGGATGACCCATGGTGAAAATCGCGTCGAAAATTGCATGAGCTGACTGCTGCTTCATAACAAAGAAGCGCAGACAGTTTAGTGAGTCATTTTGCTTTATTCCATCATATTTACAAGCCAAAAAATAGTGAATCTTTGGCTCCATTTTTTTTATCAAATAATATTATAATGATAAAATATACCAAACATACTCTGTATAATGAAATGGGTGTTAGTGTGTTACAAAAAACTTATGCTAATAGAAGTTCAGCAAATTCAACCTTTTGCCAATAGTTATTTCTTCTTTTTTTTACTGCATAGATCTTACCAAACAGAGGTTTGGGCCAACCACTTGTTACCTTATGGCTTTACTATAACCCCGTTTTCACCCTAACATTACTCTTCTAAGGAAAAACTTAATAGCAGCATCACTGGCCTTTGATCAGAAGGCAGCCCATTGTTGATCTTTAAGAGCACTCGGAAGACCGGTCCATGGTAGGAGTAGTATGAGAAAAGGGGAACAACGTGATGACCAGCAGTCAAAGCCTCTCTAATCACTCCACCTATTAACATTCGCAACCCAATCTCATTTGAGTATGGCATTCGTTGAACATATGCTCCATAGGCAGCCAAACAACTGCAAACATTCAAGACATTATGTCACACAGCTAATATACAATCTTTACCAACTTCATGTGTATAAATTGTGATAGCTTTATTGTGATCAAGCTATATTATATAGCTAATATAATATGCTTAATTGTGTTTTTTCATCCTGGCAAACTTAACTTATTTTTGTTTTAGATCCCTATGATGTCATTTTCATTTTTACTCTGTAACTTATGTGATTATCCCATTACCCCTCTCCATCAACCTCTATTTGAAAGGAACCTGGTGTGGTCTACAAAACTTCAACCTGACCCCTAATGACACTGGATGAATCCCATTGTCTAACCATACTATAGCAGCCATTGAACCTTAGGGAGTGTTTGCAACCGCTCTACTTTAAAAAAGTGATTTTTTAAAGGGAATTTGGATAAAGTGCTTAATAGTAAAAGTTGGTAATGTTTTAGAAAAAAATGCTTTTGAAAAAGTAAAAACCGGTAGTGTTTGATAAAAATAAGTGTTTTTTGTGTAATAGAAAAAGTGAAAAACAATTTAAAACACTCATCCACCTGCTTCCAGATTTTAACTTTCAAGGTGCTTAATTTATGCAGAAGTTAAAACACACATTTCAGCTTTTTAAAGCCAAAATGCTGAAACACACTTATTGTTTTGCAAACACTCCCTTATTCATGCTCCTGGCTCATTAGCCACATGCTTCATGGGAGGTCATAGAAGGCCGGGCCTTTTTACTTTTTGGGTTCCAACTTCCCTTTTCCACTTTAGGTGTGCAAATGCAAAAGTTTTGCAATTCTGAACCTTTGCATCACTTATCCTAACGAATTCCATACAATTCCTGATAGTTTTTCATTCGATGAATGGTGAGAACGATTGAAAGTGGCAGGAAAAAAATCTGTGATTGTGCACCAAGCCTGCGAAAATAAAAGTGTGATAACTAAAACCAGCTTATAGCGGCGGAACCATTGGTAGATCATTTATGTTGAGATTAACCTTACACTTCAAATATAAATGTTAAACACTCACCGACGAGGACGGTTACCCCCGGAAGAGTAACCATCCGTGCTAGTAACATACAACATGCCGCCGAATTTAACAGCCCCAACTGCAGCTCGCAGATAGCTGGAATCGCTCCCGAATGAATCAACATCGATGAAATCGAAATAATCTCTTTTTAAGTAACACTCTGTCAAGACCCTAGTCGCGTCTGAATGCGTCACATCCCATCTTTCACCGGAATCTCTAGAAACCCGCGAGAGGTTCCCCAAAATTATCCCCCGGATGCAGTCATTCGCGTCATTCGCGAGCACGAAATCTGCATTTGCTTCCTCCAAGTACCGGAGGGATCGAATTCCACACCCACACATGGCGTCCAAAACTCTGAGGCTGCCCTCTGAATTCCGTCGAAGGGCTGCGGAGAGCACGCCGAGGTCACGACCGGTGGCGCTCTCGCGACGGAAAAAGGTGTCGCCGACATCGAACTGAAGCCCGCGCTCGGATTGGAGGTGAGATTTGCAGGGATTGAGGGTGAGCTTGGAATGTAGGGCTTTGGGTTTAGGGCAGAAGAGAGTGGAACGATAGATGGGTAGAGCCTCCAGCGGGAGGCAAGACATGGCGGGAAATGGCTGTTGCAGATAGGGGTGGGTTCGGTTTATGCGGTTCGGTTTTGACCTAAAACCAAATGTAGAATCAAACTATAAACTTCGGTTCGGTTCGGTTCGGTTTGTTCATATTTTTTTCTCCAACCACGGTTCAATCGGTTCGGTTTTGTTCGGTTCGACTTCGGTTTTTTCGGTTTTAAACCAAAAGACATATACTTTCTCAAAAAAATGATGTGCAAAACTGCAAATAACCAAATAAGCAAAAAAACAGAAAGAAAAACATTGAAGTGCAGGAAAATAAAACATGCAGTCACCTAAATGAGTCTATGGTTCATAAAACTCTACACCATATTAAATAAAAGTTTATAACTAAAATATTTATGAATGACTAATTGTGTATAAATATGCAATCACTAAAGTTATACACTAATTAAAGTCTATCATTCATGACACAACTGGTCATTGATTTTTATTGTGTCACTAATTTGAGAACAAGTTATAGACTAATTTAAAAGCAGACTCCAATTACAGACTTTTAGTCACAAGCAGTCATTTTATCAAAGACTAATTTAAAAGCAGTGTTATAGACTAATTTAAAAGCAGACTCCAATTACAGACTTTTAGTCACAAGCAGTCATTTTATCAAAGACTAATTTAAAAGCAGTCACCAATGGCATTTTATCAAAGTTAATGGCATTTCTATCATTCATAAAACTCTACACCATATCTACAAATAAAAGCCAATCAAAATATATATAAAAAATGAGATCCTGTTGCCCAAAAACCAAAGAATGAAATGTCAAGGCTGCTTCACAGACTAATGACCGAAAATTTGCAACAACTTGATCAAGAAGCTACGACAGTGACCAATATTACGGGAAAGAATTGAGACTGGAATGCCATACAGGCTTCAACCACTAATTCCTTGGCTGGATCCACCAATTGTCTATAATTACAGACTCATACACTTCATATAAAATAATTGATTTTTTTTATTTTTTTATATATTTCGGTTTTTTCGGTTTCGGTTTCGGTTTGGTTTTTGGGGGTTAAAACCGAAATCGAAACCAAACATGTTCGGTTCGGTTCGGTTTTTTATGTTCGGTTTCGGTTTTTCATCGGTTCGGTTTATTTGGTCTCGGTTCGATTTGATTCGATTCGGTTTTCGGTTTTCGGTTTTACGAACCCACCCCTAGTTGCAGAGGGAGCGAAGATACTCATTTGGTCAATTGGTAAATGGTCATTGGTGTAAGGAAGCTTTTCTCATTTGCTTGAGATTAGAGAGTAGGGGAGTGTTTACAATTTACAATTGCTTTAATGAAGTGTTTTCCTGTTTTTAGCTTTAAAAGGGTAAAATTAGGAGAAAAGTGTTAATGTGTACCTTAAGTTGTGTCCCATAGCATGAAAAGTACACAATTTTTGTGTTAATTATTTCAAAATACCTCAATTTGATTTTTTAATGTTACTTCAGCATGTCTATTATATCTCCGTTAAAATGATCACTTGACTACACATATTGTTGATCTGGTTAAAAAAGTCCAATTCATATTTCATCAAGGCAATCCCCAATTAATGGCAAATGAAGTTGGTTTGGAAGTCGGAACGGAGGCAGAAAGAAGTACCGGCTGTTTCCTCTATTCATGGTCGTGAGTCCATTTCAGTGTATCTCTTCCGACCATAAGCCATCACAATTGTGTCATCTTCCCCCAAACATTGTTTCTTTTCATTAATTTTCCACCGCCGTCGATTGTAAAGGGGTCTCATTCCCACTTTCTGTAGTTCAACAACCCCACAAAAGAGAAGCCCAAAATGGTTATACTCGTTACCATGCTCCAGTCGTAGGTGTACCTGTCGGAGACCCAACCTGAGGAAGAGGAAAGCTGGAAGAGGAAAGTACAACGAGATTTTTGAGGGAGTTCATTCTACGGGTAACGAAAAATGTTGATTTTGTAATCATATTTTGCTTCATTTGCTTTGCTTGCTGATCCGGAATAATACAAGAGGATGAAATGAAACGTGTAGAATGTAAAAGACCGCCTGCAATTCCGAGAAGTGATGATTCAATTATCCTCTTGTCCATAGATACCTTGTGGCATAAAATTGAAATGACTCACTAGATAGCCAATCCTTTCTCTCTTTTTACAGTCTCGGCGGACAATGGAAGATTGTAAGCGCTTAACAACTTTTGGATTCACAAGGAACAATCTATGTAGAAATTGCTCACAGAAAATAGAAATCTTCTCTTACAATCGAACCAGAAGTTAGAGTTAGGTTGAATATTAAAGAAGCGAAGTCTATTTGCTTTATAAAAAGAAAATAGACTTCTTTGAATCAAGTTCATGGGAACCCCTTCAAAGTTAAAGGAATTATGAAGGAAGAATAAGATTCAAGGAACAAGAGCGTACACGAGCGCAGGAGATGAGATTAAAGTCCTAAACGTGAATTATGGTTAATAGACTTATATAAGTGAATATTTGCTGACTTGGATAATAAAGTTAGAAAATAAACGGCTTGTCTTTTCCATTTCACGTTTTTATAAAGTGAGAGTTAAATTTGTACTCAATTAACACAGAAAACCAAGTTTAAGTACTTTGTTGTATCCACGCACGCTTTATGATGTGAGAAAAAACTTAAGGTACCATATTTGCTATTTGTCCATCTTTATCATAGCAAGAGAAGAAGAAAATAAAATAGAGCAAAAAGAAGAAGTTGATGGAATAGCCGCAGAGAGAGCAGACGGGAGATGTAGAGCAGGGAGGAGGGAGACGCGAGAAAAATATAAGATAAAGAGCGAAGGTGAAAACGAGTGAATTGAAGGAAAATAGAGTTTATAGATTAATTATTTGATGACATGGACTTCAACTATATATTACAAACGGATAGTTTGACCAAATTAGCTATTTTAACGATCTGACAGAGCAAATGCACTTGATTGACTATAAAAGGTTTAAATATTGTTTTAGTCCATGCAAATATGACACATTCTGTTTTAGACCCCTGCAAAAAGCTGTCTTTGTTTTTTCATCTATGTAATATGTGCTATTTTTATTTTAGACCATCTCTAACTTCGAAACAACTCCACTTACATTTTGTTATTGTCGGTTGCATAAATCTCCCGTAAACATTTAAATTTGTCAGTTTATAATTTTTTTGAGGCTAATAAGAGGGTTAAAACAATATTAAAACTAATTATTCACATTTTTAAAATATGCATTAAAAACATTTAAAAAATAAAATTAAATACTTTTTAAATGACATAACAAAGAATTAAAGAATACTTATTAGCTGGGATTGTTTCTTGTCGAACGGATATTGTTATCATTAGTCATGGATTAAAAAGAAAACCAACATATATCTCAAAGATGAAAGTCAAAGAAAATATTTTGTAACGACGTAAAACAAAATGTGCTATATTTGTAGGGATTAAAAACATATTTAAACTACTATAAAAATATAAATTTATGTATTTTAAAATTTCAAAAAATGACCATTTTCTCGAAGAAAGGGTACCCTCGAAGAAATATTGATGATCATTTGATCAAAGATACTGATTATGGGAACAGAAGACTAGAAGACAAGTAAAATTACCCCAGTTTTCAACAATCCCTTCCCTTCTCGTCTATCGGATTCTTCCTAAACCGAACAAAAGTTAACAGCCTGTTTGGATTGAGTGTTGAGGAGTGTTAGTAATGGAAGTGTTAATAAGTGTTGATGCTAACACTTGTTTGGGAGAAAAAACCAGAGGTGTTAAGAAGTGTTAGTAATGATTAGGAAGTGTTAATAATAACCTTCCCAACACCTAAATTGTCCATTTTTTTAACACCCCGATTTGGAGTGTTTTGAGGTGTTGGACAATTATTACCCTTCTCATTTGTCCGAAAAACATAAAATGCTTTGACATTTCACTTCGAATGTCTTTCCCACAGGTCTGATGGTTTGTTTCTTCATCTCTTCTCTTTACTCGTTCGTTACTCTTTCTTTAACACTTCCATTATTAACACTTCATTCATTTGACTCTCCCAAACAAGGTAAAATTATGTCTAACACTTACACTTCCCTTCCCTTCCGAGCCCTTACTAACACTTCCATTACTAACACTTCCAAACACTCCATCCAAACCGGCCCTAAATGGAGTAATGGACATTCTGTTGTAGTAGAATCCTGAAAAAAAATTAACGCAGTTGTAAGAAAATAATCAAACTTGCCTCAGGAAATGGTATATACCGCGTCTTTATTTGCGATGTAGGAATGATGTTAGGGCTTGCGGGGATCCATAGAGGTTTTGTCAGGGGAAGAGATAACACTCTAAAATTCTTAAGGCGCAAGGATTCCAAAGTGAGGCGGAAGGTGAAGCCGATGAATTCGGAGGGCAGTAGTCACCGATCACACTCAATCTTGTCGTGGTTCGTCACTGTTCATCATCACGAAACTTCCGCTTTGATATCATCCGCATCCACTTTCTTCTTCGTAAGCCAACCTTTCATTGACCTCTTAATTTCGTTTCAGTTCACTTTCAGACGGATAGTAGTGCCATTGTCAGGATTTGACCTTTACAAGTTCTGATTTGTGATTGATTTAGCTCGCCCAGTCTGGGTTTAGCTGTATGTTCATTTAACAAAATATCATATGTTATCAAATTAAAACATAGCACTAGCATAGTAGTAGTATGCTTCTTCTTGGCTATCAGAATGCTTAGTCTTTATGACTGGGGTGATTTGCAGATTCTGAGTGCATATTTCGTAGTTCTTCCATTACGTGATGATGGCGCAATATCCTTGGGGTTAGGAAATCTACCAGGTTTATTCATGGGATCTCTACTACTCACATTGGTAGCTGCTCCACTATCCACTCTGATTTTCACATTGCCAAATCTTTCGAAATCCAAGGTCTAGAAAGAGAGCCCTTTTCCATTCCGCATTTTAAACAAGATGCTAGTAGCGGTAAGCTTTCCAGGAGACCCTTTAGTAAGGGTTATCTGGCTTGCTGATTTTTGTGATACAAAAAATGCCTGGTAACATCTATTTCAGCCAAATAAGTCAAAAACTGTTTAGTGCAGGTTTCATCATTTTTAGGATTTGCGAATCTATTTTATGAGTTTTTTCGCTAAACACTAACTTATTTTATTGCACTGGCTGAATCGGGTAATAATAATCAATTAGTGTAGAATTTTGCTTTTCTTTTGCTAAAACAGCTGAAATGAACGGAAATGATACTTTTTACTTTTTTAGGTATTATGTTCTTTAACTTATTTTAATTTATACTCCGCACTATATGCGTGTGTGACTGCGTGTGTATTTTTATATTTAGATACTTGGTTTGGAATTTCAAAAGATTCAATCAATTCTGTCACTTCAGGCTTTTAGTGCCTTACCAAACTGTTATTTTGCTTATTTTGTCGATAAGCATAAATAATAAACATAATATGCCGATTATGGCTACCAAAGAGAGCCTAAATCAATGTCTCATTATACTTTCCACATACGATACACCAGCCTTTTGGTTTGATTTTTTTATTTGTAATGGTACCACTTCAAATTCCAGGCCCTGGCCTTGATACACAGGTTCTTTGCTGTTTCTCTTATAGTATTCTTCGCTCTGTGGATCTCATCTACTCCTGGAAACTCTTTTAATCTCAAGGTGAGAACAAATGGAAATTAAAAGCAACTTAAGTGATGGAGCTTTAAAGAGATGTAATGAATGGTTTGGTATTTAGGGATTTTTTAACATGTCCATAATAAAAGAGGAACTCAAGATCACTGTTGACCAAGCTGGCCCGCCTGGGTGGGGTGACCATGGATGGTTTTACATCACCGTGAGAATCAGCTTTTTCCTTTGGGTAAAATACTGCATTTATTTCTATCTTTCCCGTTTTAGGTGAACTTTTCATTTGATATCTTTTCTGGCTGAACAATTAAAACTTGCTTCATAGAAGGAAGTTGTTGCATATTACTCAGTTGTTACTTTTTTTACAGGTTGCTCTGCTTAATCTGATAACGATCTCCTCAACATGGGCTAGAGTAATTGATGTGATGGATAATGAGGTGAGGTTAGGATGGTTCTACCCCGCCATGCCCCGAAAAGTCGTGTTTCACAATTTTATTTTTAATTTTAAAAGAAGATCCAAAAAAGTTGTGTAAAATTTAATTTATCAGAGAGTAAAATTTAGTAACATAAGTAGGCTGGATGGTTTACAAGAGATGTACCTTACTACAATTTAAAAGTTCTCCTCGATGAAACATGACTCTTTTAGGGATAGAGAGTACATTTTTTAATTTCCCATTTTCCACTTCATACTTTTTTTTTTACTCGAGGAGGCGTCTGGGGGAGGGGGTCTGGGGGGCCTGGAGTAATCTGGGCTGAAACTCACTCCATTGAGTTTCGAACCCGAGGCCTCCCATATGGGAGAGTGAGTCGGCGACTTGCTGAGCTGGACCGCTTCCTCTTTCCACTTCATACTTATGGTATGCAATCTTTAATTTGTACTCCCCCTCCCCCAGCACTCTGGTTCCATGCAGAATAACATTAAGATCTGTTTAGGCATAGATTTGATGACCCTCATTTTCAGTCAGGTTCAAGATTGTTTGGGTTCATTGGGGCTGGTGCCACTCTTGGCCAGCTCTTCGGTTCATTGTTTGCCACAGGAATGGCTTGGTTAGCACCATGTATGGATGAACTGTGCATCTTCTATTTAATGTACTCATTTTTGTAGCTTTTGTTGGCTTTAACTGGATTAAATCCAATTTCTATTTTCTTAATATCTTTATTTTTTCTCCCTCGAAGATTTACTTCTTGTTGCTGCTCTTCTCATGGAACTTGCTTCACAGTCATCCAAGGGAATAAATAAATATATCTCCCATCTTCCCGAAGAACAATCGCCCATCAGGTTATAATCCATATCCACTCTATTTTTGTCTATTGTTCTTTCTTCCAAATATCAATATTTCCTTGAATCTTCATTCATAAAAGTCTGTTTTATAACCTGGAAAGTACTAGGGAAAGAAAATTGGAGGTGAAACTGGAAGTAAGAGAATTTGGGGAAAATAGAAAATTTGCTCAAACTCAATAAATTTATTTGAGATTTTTGTTTAAGTAAATTTATTGTATTTATTCAACTACATAAACAATAAGAAATCTTAATACATTTAAAAAAAGATTAAAGCTAATCATTTTTTAACTTTTCCTTTGCATTTTCCGTGGTAAATCCCAACATAAGAAAATAAATTTGCTTAGCCCCCCAGATAGCATTTTCTAGGATGCAGACATTGAGATATTTTTTCAAGTACCTGTGTATTTATTTATTTATTTATTTGAACTAGGTAAGCACTAAAATATTAATGTATTTCAAAAGATTACAAAAATTATTTAGTTTCCTTTGCATCTTCCAGGTAAAGCTGAAAATATGAAAACAACTTTCCTCAGCCTCCTCTTACACCTAGCATTTTCTAGGATCCAGACATATCCTAATAATTTATATTCACCTAGGCCTTCATGAGAATAAGTTACTCGTTCCTATTTATTCTACAGTCCCTCTGGCGCAATGCTAAAATCATATATTAACCTGCAGAATATGCTGTTGAATATAGAAGGGGCATGACTCATAAAATGTATTTTACTTTTTGTTTTATGGGTATGTAGGTTAGTTGATGTTGATCATCCTACTGATCAAACAGAGGTGACACACAAAAAATCGTCTCCAGAATTGTCTTCCTCAACCGGAAAGCCTCAGCAGCTCTGGGCCATATTAGATGGGATACGGCTTATATTGTCATCAACATATTTACAATGTGTATCCTTATTTCTGTGGCTGAGTGCAATTATCTCATCTTTCTTCTACTTTCAGGTAAGTAGTTTTTCTCTTCTTTGGACACAAAGTGAGATGTATTTAAATGTTTTAATTAACTTACCATTTCTTTAACTAACTCACCCTTTCTTTTTGCAGAAAGTGACTGTTATTGCCAAAACAGTTACAAATCCCGTGGGAAGAAGGCGATTATTTGCTGAGATCAATAGTTTGATTGCTGTTTTTATCCTTGTAGGACAGCTTACATTAACGGTAATGTATTGAAATGTGGGATTTTATTACAGTTAATATATCTTTTGTTTTCTGTAGTAAATAGTTTGCTTTACTTTTGCTATATACACAGGGACGCATCCTTAGCATTGCTGGGATTACTATTGCTATTTGCTCGTCTCCGTTTGTTGCTTGCATAAATTTAATCACATTAGCTATATGGCCCACATGGATTCAAGTTGCCATATCTGAAACTCTTAGAAAGGTTTGTGTACTCTCTTCTCTTTTTCAAGCTTAATTTTGATTCGCTTTATCTTTTTATCTGCACTTCTTGTAACATTGAAATGAAGACAATAGCACATTCTTACCTGGATGGCATTTGGCGGTAAAATTATTGCTTCATCCTTGCAGTAGTAAACTTTCTATCTCATAAATTGAGGGTAAAACAGTAATTCCATTTCTAAAATGTCATTCAGGTAGGTAGGAAGTCCGAATCAGGTCTACCACCGGTATATGCCACCACTCGGTGTGCCACCTAATTATTGATATATTTATACTAGATAAGAGTTAAACTACCCCTCTTTCCCCTTAATAGTCATATTTAGGGAAACTCGCTATCTTTTAGTCAAAGTCCAGTAAATTTCCCCTTGCTTATTTAGGTTGCAGATTATATTTCATTTACCACAAACAATCATTCAATTATATTTATTTTTATATGTTATTTTATACGGAGTATAGATTAAGGCATGAAGCACAAGGAACTGAAGGATGTAGAAAAAACATGATGTTTTTTCATAGAAAAATTCATAAAATAAACGAATGGCCCTTTATAGTTTATAACATAAAAATAATTTTTAAAACACCCGACATTGTGCAAATGTGTAGAGTGTACAACTAGCCTTTTTTATATTTTTTTTTGTAAAGTGGGCCTGACAAACTGTTTGATATAGGTGGTGAATTATGTGGTAACTAGGCCTGGACGGGAGCTTCTTTTTACTGTTGTCTCACAGGAAGAGAAGTATAAAGCAAAGGTATGAAATAGTTCTATTAATTGATTTATTTTAACATTTCTTTTGGAAAAAAAGAGTGACTTCTTATCATCTTGGATTTTATCATTTTCTGCAAAACCAAATGTCTTTGCCAAAGGTATGCATAGATGTAATTGTTCAAAGGCTGGGAGATGCAACAGCAGCTGGCATGTATAAGCTCCTTTTCAGCACACTCCATGGCAAAGTCACTACAGTCTCTATATGTGCATTGCCGGTATGTTAAAAAATAGATTTTTTAAACTATTTTTTTTTTCAAATTCTCCGAAGAAAAAAAAAGTTTTAGCACTCTTCTGTGGGTGGCTTTTGCATGTTCTTATAAAACTATAAAAGTAGATTTTACTTTATATCTCCTATCTTATTATGAAGGGGAGTGAACCTAGCTGTGAGATGCAAGATGCTCTCTAAATTAAATACACCATTAAAAAGCATTAAGTTGATAATCGAGTGTTGACATTAAATTATTACCCCTAATTTTCATAGTAAATTTTAGGTGGAAATCGACTTTGGACCAATTTTTGGGTGAAATTGAACTTTGCACCATTTTAAAAAATATCAATATATTCACCTCACCCAGTTCAAAAAACTGTTTTAAGGAATGAAGTGCAAACACCTGATTTTTTAATCAGATGGGGTGTACATATTGTCAGATTTGCTTTTTAAAAATGGGGTGCAAATTCAAATTTCTCCTTTTTGGATGAACATGTATATATATGCACTCAAAGAAATTTACAAAGTCAGATTCCCCTTAAATTTTATAATGTGTAGTCTGAGTTGCATCTAATATTTCACTGTGTTGAGTACTTGAGGTAGTTAAGTTTACGGTGCATATATTCTGGTATAATTGCGGTACTTTGGACACTAGAGAACCAGATAATGTTTTAAAGAACTTTGTTATGGTCTGGTTAAGGGACGGAAAAACGAGATCTATGTGCAGCCCTTACCCTATGGCGATTGAAACACTACTTATTGTTGTTATCTTTCATTTTTGTCAGGTATGCTTGTTGTGGATAATGATAGCTTTTCATCTAGGGCGCAGGCAAAAACAACTCTCAAGGCTTCAAACATTTGCAGCAGTTGAAATGGCTGGGAGTTAATTTATTTTATTCATTGATTACAACTTGTAAGGAAGTTATTTGTTTTATATTTTTAGAGTTTTACCCACACACTTGTCCAAATTAAAATCAGAAATAGATTCATCAGCATAAGAGTAGCATATTACTTTGTTTTCTTTATAGTTTGACACTTAACAGATATAGACACATCTAGTGAGTGTGAACCTAGTTATCTCTTATCACAGAAGAGAAGTCATACGCAAGAAATTACATTTTTGTTGTACTCTTGCAGTCGTCTAATGACTCTAATCCTTTAGTCTGTTAGAAAATTGCGAAAAGCTAAGAAAATATGGGGGGCTTTTACAATGCGTAAAAAAATATGAATAACTATAACATTGAAGGCCCGAGACCGGTCCGGCTTACCACTGGGTCTGGGCAGGGTCGGGTCCGGATCGGGCCGGGTTCATAGTTTTTTTCCCTTTTCTTATTAACCCCCGACCCCCGCCCCTACCTCCACCCCAACCCCCCCCCCCCCCAAAACACCTAGCCCAAGTGCCCAACTCAGGAAAAGCCCAACACAATGAAAAAACCAAAAAAAGAATTCCAAGGCCCGAACCGGGACCAGGCCCGCCCGGGCCGGTTCCAAGGAATGGGGTGAACCGGGACCGCCCCCGCTATTCCTACCGGTTCGGGTCAATGCCCGGTTTTGGGACCGAAGGACCGGGCCGGTCTGAGCCCTCACAATAGTGGGCCGGTTCACGGGTTGGGCGGCCCGAACCGGGTCCAAGACTAGATGGTGCTGTGAAATATAAGATTATATTCATTATACTTCATATTGAAATGCTATGTTCCCCATCTTGAATGATATGGGCGAACCCGATCGTGAACAAGACACGATGGCGCTGAGCGACTGGGGGGTCAATTGTGCTGCATAAAGCGACGATCTCCATTTTGAATGGTATGGGTGAACCCGACCATGAACTAGACATGATGGTGATGTGGGGCCAATTGTGCTGCATAAAGCGACGGTCCTCATCCTGAATGACATGGGCGAACCTGATCATGAACCAGACACGCTGGGGCTGAGGGGCCAATCGTGCTGCATAAAGTGGTGATCCCCATCCTGAATGGCATGGACGGACTGGACCGTAACTAGGCATGACAGTGCTGAGGGAACGATCGTGCTGCATAAAGCGGCGGTTCCCATCCCGAATGGCATGGGCGGGCATGTCCTTAAACTGGACACGATGACGCTAAGGGGCGGTCGCCATCCTAAATGACAAGGGCGGACTCGGCCGTAACTAGACACGACAGCGTATGAAAGATAATTGTTTCGTTTGCTTGCCACTTTTGGTAACAAAACACGGTGTTCTTTCATCATCTAATATCCTACAAAGGAATGAAGGTTGCAATCTTTTTGTATGAGGCCGAAAAGTATATCAAATTTGAGAATAAAATAATAGCTTGCCAAGCTTGTTAACACTAAAATATGCTCAATATGTTGAATCTCCTTTTAAAATTAAATCTAAAATGTATTTTGTTATTAAAACAAAGAAAAATTGTATTAAGATGCTAAAATTATCCACTTCAACAAATTTAGTCATAAAAATAATCAATCATATTATTATTGAAATTGTGATATTATTATAAAAGTGTAAATCACCCCTTGAACTACCAAATAAGCCCTCGAACTTAAATAAAAAGTGCAAATCACCCCTTATATAGGAGGCTTTGTTCGGCCGTCACCATTGGGGTGGTTCCCCGTGGAATTATTTGATGAATTTTTTTGAGCATCTTATTCATTAAGTCTAGTTTACTCATACCAAACTTCAGCTGAAAATTCAACCAGCTAGGCAGTCAAATGAATTTTTGAAGATAACACCACAGTTAAACAGCGCAGTATATTTCAGAAAATAATTTGACTGCCTTCCTGGTTGAATTTTTAGCTGAAGTTTAGTATGAGTAAACTAGACTTAATGAATAAGATGCTCAAAAAATTTCATTAAAAATTCCATCAGGAACCACCCCAAATAGCAACGTCCGGACAGAACCTCCTATATAAGGGGTGATTTGCACTTTTCTATGTAAGTTCGAGGGCCTATTTGATAGTTATCCTCTTTTATTTTAAACATGTCATATTATTATTTTTATTGAAATTGAAATATTAGTACAAATAGAGGAGTTGTGCAATATTACACTAAACACTTATAATACTATAATAATCAAAGAATGAATGATAATATTAAGAATATTTTTAATTAGACTGATTTCAATCTAATATCATATGAGAGCAGAGTTAAACAAACCAAAACAAAATTTTCAATTTAATTAAAAACATCCTAAGAATAATATAAGAAAAGTTGGGGGCATAACTCCGCAAGTGGGAAGAGGTGTCACAAAAACCTCTCTCTTCTCACTGTGTGAGATCAAAGTTCAATTTGCACTCTCAAATAACTACTCAGTCGGTCTTGGATGCCCTCATGGATGAGGCGACATCTTTTTTGGAAATGATAAATAAGAAATTGAAAACTTGCGTACATAAAGATATAACGATGTAGGGGCGATAATAGAAGGGCAACCCGTGATCCTTAAAAAATTCGATAAATGCATACAATAATAACAACATGAAAGCCTTCGTTCCAAAGAGTTTTGGGTCGACTAACATTGATATATGAAATTGGAGCTAACAAAGAAAACAAAAAAGAGGATTCAATTTCATTGAGTTAAATTCCTATTCTCAATCCAAGATCATTATGCGCGACTTCAATTCACGTCGTTCACCCATCATCCGGATTGTTATTTTTTTTTGATAAATTCTATAAATAAAAATAAACGTTCAAATCAATAATAAATAGACAAGTCACATGACATGAAGAAACTGAAGGGTACACAATAACAAATTAACAATGATTCAATATCAAAGTAGCAATAAATCGAAAGAAACATAGATACAAAATCCAGTACAATTTTAAGAGGATGAAACATCAGTTACTTTGAAAGTACCCATGTACAAAATGACATTCTAAGTAAATGAGCTATAAGCTGAACAATCACCTTTAAATATATATTTTCCTCAAGAATATCGGAGAGCACGAACACAGTCTTGAATCAACGTCCTTTCCCAGTCTGCTACACCCTCAAAGGCGTGGTCAGGAAGATTCTCAAAGGGTTCTTTCCAAGAGTCCTTTTTAGCCAAATCATACGTGGCCCCACGTATCGCTCTTTTGTTAGGCCCACATGGCCTCTTTGAAGTGAGAGTCTGGTATGCTCTATTTAGCTGCTCATGCCGTAAGCAACACAAGAATTACAAGATTATTCATCAGTGTTAGCTATATGCGAATATGAATAATTAAGTTGAATTTGACTGGAATATATAGAACTTACATCCATGTCACAAAACCAGAACATGTATGCAATTGCAACAGCAGGAGCCCGCCCCAATCCAGCTGTGCAATGCACATAAACTCTTCCTGTCTCTTCAGAAATGGCGCATTCCAATAACGAAACAGCCTTAGGCAATATGTTCCTTAAGGAATCTGGATCAAAATCTTTGGCCTGTGGATTTTAAGGTAGTAGCTTTAATGAAAACATTTACTAATGCACTTATATAAGCCATGAGGTTTATTTCTAATGTGTTTGTGGATATTGACAATAATCTTAAAATTTGTTTCAGTGTACTTTTACAAAATGTGGTGGCTTGTTAAAACATACACATTTTGGGATCTGTGGTTTGTTTATAACTTACTAAGAGGAATTTGGCAAATTAGAACTTACCATTGGAGTAACTCAAACATTATAATTGCATTTGTATTTTTATATCTTAATGCAGTTGGGGTATTATCCTTTCTGGGGCCTATAATTATGGTGCATTGCGCTTATGTTGCCTTAATTGTCCAAACAGTTTTTTACCAATCTTACACCTTCAGATGTTTTTTTCTACATCCAAAATTTATAAAAAACTTTAATTGATACTCCAGCATTACCCGAGCAGTGCCACAAAGGCTCCCACCTACGGTGGGTAAGGGAGGGTTAGCCCCTGTACCAAGTCACAGTGAGACTGCTCCAGGATGACCCATGATGAAAAAACTTTTATTGGTACAAGTAAAAAAAAAACATTAAAATGTTTAACTTCTTCAAAACGTCCCAAAATTTTCCTGAGCCCGAGTCTAACTCGGAATCAGCCTTTCTACTCTTACAGGTAAGGTCTATTTATATCTCACCTTCTCCAGACCTACACTAGTTGTGTTTGGATGTTTTCAAACATGCAAAAGATTAAAGCTTCACTTTTGGGGGGAGCAATATGCAATTTGGTATAAAGTTCCAAAGAGCATCATACATGTTAAATCACTAAATGCTTAGCTTACTGGGCATCTCATGTGACTAATTCCAAGTTCTTCACATCTTTGTACTATGGAGGGAAGATCTACTCCCCAGTACTCAATATCCCTGTCCTGCTGCAAGTTTAGGATATATGCCACATTCTGTTCCTCCCTCAAGTGGTCTATGTCTTCAACTTTCTGAGGTTGAGAACCAACAATGAGATTTTCAGTTATCAATGTATAGTTCATACCTGAAAGAAAGGAACACACTGTTAGCAATATTTATCATAACAATTCACATAAATTGTTCCACGCGCGAAAATTCAATATATCTTCTTAACCATACTATAAGAATCCCTGCCCAGACATGCCCAGGTGCTAGACCTCCCTTGACCACCTATGTTTTTCTATCATGTACTGACCTCAACTATGCCCCACATAACTCTGCCTGGGCCCTGCACTATAAGTTTTGATCTTCAGCCCGGCTAGCAATTTTTAGGATATAACGGATATTTTATACTGAGAAAATACAAAAGAAATAACTCAAAATAGGAGTAAGACATATGAGTTTTCCCTACATAGGAGTACTACTTTTTCCCATAAATAGGAGCATATGATACAGTATAAGCTCAGTATATTAGTACGGTTTGAGGATGACACTACTTAATCCTATTGAGAGAAAACATAGTAACAAATCAGGACCATATTAGACTGCAACGACATGTACTTTGGGAGGTCTCCAATTAAATAAGATTAAGAAAGATTTATAATCACACAATCTTTTGCTCAGTATGAAACAAAACCATATCAGAATTTCTTACGGGGAGATTGGTAGCACTAATCGGCTTATATCATTAATAAAAGAGCAAGTATTATATGAATTACTTATTTACTCGAAATTGGTTTTACCAAACACTTTTTCGTGATCTAAATTGTGGAAAGCAGGGGAAAGATATAAAGAGCAAATCAAAACCACAATAACACCAATAGATTCAAAAGTCAATACCCTGATATATTGAGGGCCAGAGCCAGAGGAACAACTAACTGAACGCCTGACCCCTGAAAGTTGAAGACTATAGAGCACTGAGATACCTTCAATTTGATATATTATGGCTCTCATAACCCATTACGAGTAAATAGTTGACTCTTGGAAAATCAGAACTATTTAAATTTGAATTAAGTGAAATTTGACGTGTAATATAATTATATTTTCAAATTTTAAAAACAATGTCTAATTCACTCATTACTCACTGAAGCCTATAATGTATATGGCACATATATTAAATCTATAACTCTATAGTCTTATGTAAACTATCATTATCTAAGCTACATATGAAAAATTCAACTCAAGTATTGTTTAAAAATGGCCCACCTTTTTTTATTATGTATTACGTATTTAGTTAAGTTTCGACCCCCGTGTCGTTTTTACTATATTACTATATTAGTTCTCCATGGAATTGGCCTTTTTGGTAAGGCCGTTAGGGTTATTTGGTAGAAAGCAGATCGAATTTTCTGAAAGAAAAAGCGATTGGTAATACTCAATTCAGCCAAATGGAGTCATACATATTTATATAACAGTATTATGATCAAATCCATCAATGGTTAAATTAAAGAAAAAGTTGATCACTAATAGGGTGATGTGCCTGAATTTGCTCTCTTTTTGGAAGGAAAAAGTTGAGCACTATAAAGTTTATTCAAACTACAAAGACTCTTATTCTGTTTATTGCAATTACTTAGCTGATCGACAAAATAAGTACAATTAGTCGATGGGTGCCACCAAATCACCAATTACCAAATGGGACCTAAAATTGGAAATAGCAAGAGAAGATTGATTAGAGATGCAGAAGAAAGGAGCTGACCTAGATCATGGTGATACTCATAGGGATTCCTCATCATCCTCTTCATGGCTATGTTATATTCCTCCATTTTCCTATTGGAAGAACTATCTTTGCTTGAAAGGGATTTCCCCGCTTCACTCTCAGTCAATTCAGAATGCATCTTGTTGGATTTGGAAGATTGACTTGAGACCCTGACAGTAATAGGTGCAAACCTTGCTTTGCCTTTGCTCAAAAGAGGAAAAATCAATGGAGTCTCTCGGGCTGGAGAATGAAGCACTGATGATGATGAAGAAGAAGAAATTAAGAAAGTTTCCATTTTCTCTGGCTTCTGGAACTTCCTTCCCCCCAACAAGAAAGGTCACTCGAACTTGGGCCCGCCAGAAAATTGGCGACTAATCTGCACCGTGCATTTGATATGTGAATCAGTGTATTGACAAAGATTCTGAAGTATGGAGTATATTCTACCGGCGTATAATGGCTTGAAATTTTCAAGATATGTTTGTCAAAACTAAAAGATTAAAAGATGCTTTTGTTTCTGGGTGTGTTTGGAGAATGGCTTATCAGCTAAGTTTTGGCTTGTTTGACTACAATTAATGAGTTTGACCATCCAAATAGCTCAATTGTTTGTTTGGTAAATGGCTGGTTGCTTTAGGTTGTTGAACCCAAACATCTGAAAATGAAAACGCTAGCATGTGCAGCGTTTCGCGTTGGCTGCTCCGTATTTCCCCTCTATGCCCTCCGTAATGGCAGCAGTGCAGCACACCAGTTCACACATGTTATGCTTTATTATGATGTTTCACATCACTACATCAGCCCACATTTATGCATCATCCTAATGCTTACATGGAGCATTGATTAAACTTGATTTTATTACAAACTAAAAATTTATTTAGTTTTTTTAATTACAATCAAACTTGATTTTTTAATTCCTATTATTCGAATTAATTTAAAATGTTAATTTTAATTTAATTTATTTTTCATGTAGTTGTATTTATCAATATCTAAAATTTAAATTATTTATACTCTGTAAGTAAATGTAGGTAATATTAGTTTTGGAAGCAATAAATACAAATAAAATCAAATACTAATGTCCTTATATGTCTTTTTAAACTCAAATAGTTATTCTTAAAAGCTAATTTACCAAACATTTGTTGACGAAAAGCTAACGTAACCAGCCGACTAAAACAGCTGACACAACCAGCTATTGTCAATCAGCTGTCATAACTAGCTAACAGCTACAGCTAATAGCCGATTGCCAAACAAGGCCTCTATAAAAAAAGATGTTTTTGTGAATCTTTTAAAAAAATGTTACTACCTCCGGTTTCATTTGATACTAACACAATTAATAATAAAGTTGTTGAAAAGGTAAAAATTTTGGTTGAAATTTGAGTATATTAAAGTGAAATGTTGTGGATTACATATTTCTTTCCAAAAAGGAAAATGTAACACTTATTTTGGAACAACCTAAAGGAAAGTTAGACATATAAAATGAGATGGATGGAGTACATTTTAATGATTGGAAAGAGCATAAAAATAGATGATAATTATTTGATAAAAGGTTGAATGTTTAATTTAAATGAGTTCTTTTTTATATACAAACTGTTGTGGCTAATTACTTCTATAATTCGACTTACTTAGTGTATTTTCTCAACAAGTTTTTTATTTGAAAAATCTCTTAAGAATTGGAATGACAAACATACACGGTCAAACATGCATGAAAAATTTTATTTGTGCACATCTATTTGTACATGCCGTTTGTGAACAAACAAATTTTTTATACTCCCTCCATCCCATTAGACTTTGCCAACTTTCCTTTTTTGTTGTCCCAAAAAACTATGACACTTTCCTATTAAAGTAACTAATTTGTGGTTCTGCACATTTCTCTCTCATCTGCACAAATCTCAACCACACGATTTTTACTATTCTTATTTCTCACCTACTTTGCACTTGGCAAAGTCCATCGGGACGGAGGTAGTATGTGAATAACCTGTTCACAAAAATAGTATGTTTTGACTGTGAACAAGTTATTCACAAACAAAAAAACAACACGTTCACAAACGCATGTATGAGGCGTGTGCATATGAGCGTGTACAACAAGCAAGATTGTTTATGTTTGTAAGTTGTGAACTCAACCACATTTGTCTACAAAAAATACTCCATAATATTCATTTAATTAGAGTTTATTTAAGCGATTGAGAAAAAGTGTTATCATAGAGCTGAGAGGCAAAAAAATCTTCTAATTTTCACCTCTCAATTGTGTTGAAAACTTTACAATTTTTCCTCCTAAGTAATTATTTTGTGATCATTATTCTCTTTAATTTTATCTTCACAATTCTCAAACATCATTTTTTACACGTTATCTACTTGCTGATCAAATTTATTAAATTCATTGGAACTGGAGTATGTGATCTTTTATTTTTAAAAGAAAATATATAGAAAAATGTCTATACTTTTTCGACACCTTAATTACAAATTTTGATAATCAATTTAGTGAAGAATGATAATCATATCACAAGAATAAGGTATTTGGTCCTTGTGAGTGTATAATAGATGTGCAAGTCCATGGTAGATTGGTAGTCTCTCCTTTCCACTTATACTGTAGTTATTGTAGTATGTTTCCTCGTATATAAATCATATTGTGATATTGAGGGGGTGTTTGGATCTGATTCTCAAAACTGATTATGCTCCTTCAGGGAGCAGAAGCAGAAGCTGGATTGTTTGGGTGAAATTCCAGAAGCACTTTTGGAGCTCTAATTTATTCTCAGAATCAGTTTTTTTAGAAGCTGGGGGGTACCAGCTTCTGAAAACTGATTCTGATTCTGCTTCTGCTTTTAAAAAAGAAGCAGAAGCAGAATCAGTTCCAAACACCCCTGAGTACGTATATAGTTTATGAGTCATTTTTTGTTAAATAAAGCTATAGACTCCTGCATCATTATAGTTGTTCATTTTGGCCACTGGATTCATGAAAGGTCCAGTTCACACTATCAAATGATTCAAATCTTTGTTTTTGTTTTGTATATAAGCTTTCACTTGCTCACTAAAATGTCAATCGTGAATGTATATAACATGCCCAAATTGAATACGAAATAGCAAATTGAATAGAAAGACAAAGGATAGAGGGTCAGAAATTATTATTTATTTCATATTCTCAATTGATTAATTCAACTCCTCAACCTTAATTCCGTAAACAAGTGTTAATATTATGGCAAGATCAAGGAAAATAACCTGGATTTTTGTTTTTTCCACCCTCTTAATTATACTCTTCTTATGTAATCACATAGTCATTTTCTCCACATATATTGTTTATAATAAGCTGAATTTAAACATTTTATTTTTTTAAGGGGAAATGCTTGACTTTTCTTCCTTGTTTATATTTTTTAATTGTGACTTTATTTTATATAGAAATTTCATGTTTTATCAGATATTTTGGCAAGATTCAGAGCGAAAAGTTGGATAAAATGCCATTATTATTTTTGTAATGAAATTGCTTCTACTTCTGTCCACCATTTAGTTGGTTTGTAAAAACTAGCACATAATTAAAAGATGAGTGTCAAAATGGGTACAATAAACTAATAAATAGGTAAATTGATAGTGAAATAGCAGTACTACATTTCGGTATCTTAGGAGACATACTTCAAAAATAAATGACCCACATTTTTCCAATTTTGAGTGGTACGTCTGATGTAATACATTGTAGCAATCTTTTGATTTTGAGCGGTGGATATTTTTTTGGAAAGTTATGTTGTAATTCGCACATATTCTATAATTTTGGTTAAATGTGACTACATTGGAGCTTGTAGATGAAATGTTATTGCACTAATTAAAGATTGGGGTACTACCTAAGAGGAAGAGTTTCTCTCTCTAGGGTTGCCGCGTGCAACTCCTAGGTTTTCGTCCGCCTTCAAGTCTATCGAAGGGCGAGTTGGTTGGTTGGTTGGTTTGGGCGGTGGGTGTTTGGATTATTTAGTCAGGTTCTCAGTAGCAAGGGAAGCGACGAGTTGGGCGATTGGGCAAGAGGTTGAAATAGGTTTCGATAGCATAGTTTTCCGAGGCGGCTTGTAGCAGCGTGCGACGGCGGAGGTTGGCGAGGGGTATGGACAGTGTTGTTGATCAGTATAAACAAATGGCGATCGGGGCTGATGAGGAGGAGCTGAATCTTGATGAGGTTGAGGCGGAGGGAGTTCCGATGGAGGTGGTTACGACGGGTTTTCCGGTGATCGGCCAGGTGCTGACGGACCGAAAGGTCAAATTTTCAGACCTTAAGGAGACGATGCTTTCACTCTAGAGGTCGGGGAAGGGTATGTCGGTAAAAGAAATTGGTGAAAAGAGGTATATATTTACTTTTAATCATCGTTTTGATATGTTACGTGTGCTTGAAGGAGGTCCTTGGCATTTTCAGCGTAGTCTGTTAATGTTAAAAGAAATTATGCCTGACAATATTCCACACAAAATTATCTTAAAGGAGACTCAGTTTTGGGTTCATATCCATAATGTTCCGTATAGTCTTGTTAATCTGGGCACTGCCAGACGTGTGGGAAATTTCACAGGGGAATTTATTAAATATGATGATAACCAGAAGAGTGATAGATTGGAGCCATATATGCGGGTTAAAGTTCTTATGAAGATGGATAAATCGCTGAAGAAGGGGACAAATCTGAAAAAAGATGGTAAGAGTTTTTGGGTAGATTTTAAATATGAAAGGCTATCCAACTTTTGCTTCATTTGTGGATTTATTGGACACTCAGATAATTTATGTCCCTTAAATTATGAGGAAGGCTTAGTTTTAGAAAAAATGTTTGGAATCCATCTTAGAGCATGAAGCGGGGTGAAGACTAGCCCGACAGGAGGTAATTAATGGCTCTTGGAGGCTTCATCGAGCTCTGGCAAAAATTGTTGAGAAGGAGAAAGAGTCTAATGACTGAATCAGCCCAAAGTTTTACCAAAGGAGAAGGGGATGAGTCAAAAAAAGAGGTTTCTAAGAGAAGGAAGATCTGGGAGACTCAGACAATTAAAGAAGGAGCAAGAGGAGGACACTATGGCTTTGGATGGGACAAAAAACGGGGCGGAGGCGGGCTTTGCTCTTTAAGCCCGCCGAAGCCGCTGACAGAAGAGTGGAGGTCGCATGTCTGAGGGATTGTTAGAGTTTTCTGGCTACAACGGAAGTGTTTTTTCTTTTGTTTTATTTGCTGTTTCAGTGATTGTTATGTCTGTTTTGGTGTTCGTTTTTTCTATTATGTTCCTGTTTGTAAGACGTTGATTTTGGATGTGGGGGATGAGAGGAATATGGTGACCGTTTATGGCTTTAGGTTTCCCATTTACGGATCATCGAATTATATTGTTTTTTTGGAGGTGATTAATTTTGAGTCTGGTTCACGGGATAACGTTTGTCAAATTTCTTTTTGTCATTTGAC